ACAGGGCTGGGAGGGCACCCAGCCCCCTGGCATAGGCACTGATGGCAGCCTGGGCATCGGGCACGGCCACTTCTGTCGCCTCCTCCACCATCCTGGAAGCAGAGGGAGACAGGACCAAGCAGGGAGGGTCACACACACGCCCTGCTCTCTCTCAGGAACACCCCTGGCCATGCTGAGGCTGGCACCCTGCTCCCTGCCCAGCCCACCCTGATGGGGGGGTGCCAGCCCCCAGGAGCCACGCTCAGCCCTGGGGCATCAGGTACCTACAGGCCCAGGGGTGCCACATCCACCACCTGCAGGGCTCGGCCATCAGGATGGAGCAGGTCCCAGGCTTTGTCCTGGGTGCTGACCTGGAATGAGGGGGCTGCATCAGGCAGGGGGCAGGAAAAGGGAGCTGCTGGCATCCCACACTCACCAGGGGCCTGCAGTGCTTGTGGCTATGCACAGGTGAGGGTTGAGAAAGGCTCATTTTGGGGCAACTCCCAGCTTTCCCAGCCCTGGCACCAGGGAAGGGCAGAGCCCTGGGAACGCCCGAGCCCTGTGTGGAGCTTATCAGACCCCTGGCAGCATCCCAGGGCCAAAGGGCAGGAGCTGGCATCACTCCTGTGCCAGTCAAAGCCACACTGGAGCAGTGACTGACCCAGACAGCCCAGCTGTGGTGGGAGCAGGAAGGGGTTAGAGGGTGATCCTGGTCCCACCATGCTGCTGGAGCCCAGGAGGTGCTCAGTGGGAAGTCCTGGAAAGAGGTGAGAACACCTGGGATCCAAAGGTCCCCAATCCCTGGTCACCCTCTGGATGAGGGGACTGGATGCCAGCACAGGGCAAGATGTGCTCTTGGCACAGCAGGGTCTGGGCAGCAGCAGAGAGGGAATGGGACCCTCATGCCAGGCCATCCTGCCCTGCTCCTGCCCTACCTGCACCAGGCTGACCATCTGCAGGCTCTGAGTGTCATCCCCCAAGGCCTCCAGCTCTTGGAAGACGGTGTCAATCACCTGTGGACAAGCTGGGAGCTGCTGGTTCCCAGACCCATGGCTGGGTCTCAGCCCTGCCCCGGTGGGACTGGGGTCTGCTGGGTGACCCAGGAGCCCAGCACTGCACAGTTGTGCTGTCCCCTCTCCCTGTCAGCTGTTCCCTGTGCCCTCACCTGCCAGATGACACTCTGGAAGGGCAGCTGTGTCCCAGGGCCATGGGGGTCCCACAGCAGCAGGGACACGCTGTAGCCAAGGGGAACCAGGGCCAGCTGGGGCCTTGCCAGCTCCAGGACCTTCTCCTGTAGGAGAGACACATCCAGCATGGCACAGCATGGCACAGAATGGCACAGCATGGTACAGCCAGCATGGCATAGCATGGCACAGCCATGGCATGGCACAGCATGGCACAGCATGGCATGGCCAGCATGGCACAGCATGGCATGGCCAGACTGGCACAGCCAGCATGGCACAGCATGGCACAGCCAGACTGGCACAGCCAGCATGGCACAGCATGGCACAGCCATGGGATGGCACAGACTGGCACAGACTGGCACAGCCAGCATGGCACAGCATGGCACAGCATGGCACAGCCAGCATGGCACAGCATGGCACAGCCATGGCATGGCCAGCATGGTGCAGATGTCCCTGCCCATGTGGCTGGGGTTGGGGTACAGGGAAGGACTTGGGGCTCAGGGTACCTGTCCTGCATCCATGTGGAAAACCCCATCGACAGTCAGGGAGCTCTGCTGGTGCAAGGAGGGGGATAATGTTCAGCTTTCCCCTACCCCAGCATGACCAGGGCAGGGCAGAGGAGGGACTGGGCACGCTGGGAGGAGATGGCAGGGGTGGCACAGAGGGCCTGGCACGGGCTGAGGAGAGACCCCCTCCCCTCCCTGGCCCTCTGGGAACCCCCAGGAGTCCCTACAAGGGAGGGGCCCATAGGGTGTGGGGCAGGGTCAGCCCAGGACCTCAGCTCCCATCAGGGGTGTCCCAGGGGGTGTCCCAGAGCCCTGCTCCCTCCTGGTCCCCCAGGGACCCTCGTGCCCTGGCTGTCCCTGCCTGCAGCTCTCACCTGGGGCTCCTTCCCAGCCAGGAGGAGCTGTAGGGGGTCCTTGCTGCCATCCACCCAGCCTTCTCCTGGCCCTGCAAACACCGAGTGTGGCGTGGGGTGCCATGGTGTGCCATGGTGTTCCATGGTGTGCCATGGTGTGCGGGGTCACCGCCCCATCCCAGCCCTGTCCTGCAACCCTGCACCTGGAGCCACATCCCAGGGCTTCCCCTCTCACATCCCAGGGCTTCCCCTCCCACATCCCAGGGCTTCACCTCATTCCTGAGGCCTCCTGGGCCCTCAGAGCCACCAGGATGGGGAGGACACCCTGTCCCTGTCAGCACTGCCCACACCAGCTTGGTCCCAGTGCCAGCACAGCTGTGGTGCCAGCCTGTCCCTTGTTCCCTGGTGTCCAGGTGAGGGCTCTGGGGTGCCCTGAGCTCTACCTGCTGCCTGCTGCAGTCCCAGGGCTGCTCGCACACTGACGTCCTGCTCAGCCTGCAGGCACAGAGGGGAAGGAGCCACGCACTCAGCAGCAGCAGGAGCTGGAGGAGAGCCCTGGCAGGTCCCTGCAAGCCAAGCTGGGCTGTCCCCCAGCACAGCACTCACCTGCTCCATGGGCAGTGTGGCAGCAGTGCCCCTGAGCTGCTGTCTGCCAGGGCAGGGATGGTGTTACCTGGGGATTTGGTTCTCCTGCATTATTGATGGATGTGGGCAGAGCCAGAGCAGCCTGGAGACACCTTGCTCCAGGGACTGAGTCCTGATTTCTCCTTCCTCATCCAGCAGCAGCAGCTGCTGCTCCCCGTTCCATGTCCAGCCAGGCCAGCACTCCCCAGGTGCAGGGACACCCTCTTGTACACCCTGGTTAACACCAGCAGAGCCTCCCCCAACACCCTGAGCCCCCAGCCCCCCTCCCACAGCCCAGGGCACTGCCCATCCTCCCTGGGGCTGCCCAGGGCTGTGCCCATCCTCCCTGGGGCTGCCCAGGGCTGTGCCCACCCTCCCTGGGGCTGCCCAGGGCTGTGCCCACCCTCCCTGGGGCTGCCCAGGGCTGTGCTCATCCTCCCTGGGGCTGCCCAGGGCTGCTGGCACAGCCCCACAGCCCCTCCACCCGGGCAAGGCACACCCCCAGTCCCTCCTGATCCACTCCTGACCCCCTGCCCTGTTCTGCAGCTCCCCAGCTCCTGCCTTGGTGCTTCCCCCACCCCCAGGCAGCCCAGGCTGTGTTTGCCCTCAGGGCAGGTGTACCTGTGCCCAAACAGAGGCAGGGAGGGACACAGGGAACACCCAGGCACAGAGTTGAACACAGAGGCAGGACAGGCCCTGGGGGAGAGGAGCAGGGCTGGCCAGGTGAGCACTGCCCACCACCAGCCCCAGGACACAGAGTGACAGGACAGGGGGAATGGCTTCACACTGCCGGGGACAGGGATGGATGGGATACTGGGAAGGAATTCCTCCCTGGGAGGGTGGACAGGTGCCCAGAGCAGCTGTGGCTGCCCCTGGATCCCTGGCAGTGCCCAAGGCCAGGCTGGACAGGGCTTGGAGCAGCCTGGGATGGTGGAAGGTGTCCCTGCCATGGCAGGGGTGGGGGAGAGATGAGCTTTAAGGTTCCTTTCAACTGAAACTGCCCCGTGATTCTATGATTCTCCCCCATCCCCATTTTCCCAGCCTGTCCCTTCCTCACCCACCCCTTTCATTGAATATTCCCCAGTCCTGCATCCCAATAATCCATTTCCTCCTTACTATGAGAGATTCTCTGAATAACCCAGAACAAATTAATTTTTTTTTTAATCACTTAAAAAGTTTCTGGTTGCACTTCCTCAAGGTCCCACTTGGACCCATCTGCCACTGCCTCAGGTCCAGATGTCAGGAGCTGCTCCAGCCCATTAGCATTTGTGTGCAGGGTGTTTAATTTAGTAATTTTCCTGTTTTTCATGGGTTTTTGGTTTTACCCTTAGGCACAAGAGCAGGCAAGCAGCATCCTGCCAAACCTGTCATCCAGGGTGAGGAGAGGGAGGATCAGCCCAGGGCCCATGGAGGCTCCAAGGATGCCTGGACTGGAGGGGCTGAAAGGTGTGGGGGGCTCTGGGGGGGAACCAGCAGAGCCCAGCAAGGCCGGGGACGTCTGAGTGCTGCCAGTGGGATCTGATGGAGCTGAGCTTGTCCAGGGCAGGTGACATGGCAGGGACAGCAGTGCTTGGGGAACTGCACTTGGCCACAGGGACATCCCCAGTGGGAGATGGCACAGGGCTGGAGGTGAGGGGTGCCCCAGGACCTGCTGGGCACAGGCAGGTGCTAATCACACATCCTCTGAACAGAGACAGACACATTCTCTGAACAGGGACAGACACAGCTCTCTGAACATGGACAGACTCATCCTCTGAACAGAGACAGACACAGCTCTCTGAACATGGACAGACTCATCCTCTGAACAGGGACAGACACAGCTCTCTGAACATGGACAGACTCATCCTCTGAACAGGGACAGACACAGCTCTCTGAACATGGACAGACTCATCCTCTGAACAGAGACAGACTCATCCTCTGAACATGGACAGACACATCCTCTGAACAGAGACAGACACAGCTCTCTCAGGATTTTCCTGGGAAGCTGTGAGAAAGCTCTGAGAAAAGAATGAGAAACAATTCCTGCCTCCACTCGCTGCACCTGTTGTTGTGCACGTGTGGAATGTGTTATGGAGATTGTTTACCAAAGGGTGAATCCTTAATTGACCACTGGTGATGGTGTTTGGATTGATTGATTAGGTCAGAGCTATATCAGATTGTCTTCAAGGGCAATGGGGTTTTCCTTATTGGTGTAGTTTAATACAGTAGAATAAAGTGATTTTGGAGTCATGGAGTCAATCATGGAGTCAATGCTCACTATTCCCCATTATTCAGGGGCTCTCTGCTATGATAGAGGCACAGCAGGAAAGCCCTGTGGACAGCCCTGCTCCCTGGGGAGCCCCTGTGGGCACAGCAAGAGCAGAACAGGGCGCTGTGGGGTGCCCAGGAGCCCCTGTGGGCACAGCAAGAGCAGAACAGGGCGCTGTGGGGTGCCCAGGAGCCCCTGTGGGGCAGCTCTGCTGTGCAGGGTCCCGGTGCCCCTCAGGCTCTGTGGCAGGACCTGCTCCTGGCCACCCACACGGCCCCAGCCCCAGTCAGCAGGGCCAGGACCACGCAGAGCGGGGCCGCCACGGCGGCAGGGTCACAGTGCAGCACGGACACGGGCACCTGTGCCACCTGCCAGCCCTGGTACTGCTCTGGGGAGTGGCACCTGTAGTCCCCAGGCCAGGCCTGGCCCAGGTGCCCCGTGGCTGCCAGCGCCTGCAGCCCCCCGGCCCCGGAGCAGGAGCAGCTGAAGGGGTTCCCAGCCACAGCCACGTCCTGCAGGCGCCCCAGGAGCTTCACCTCAGCCCTGGGCAGCTCTGAAATGGAGTTGTTGTCCAGGTGGAGGGTGTCCAGCTTGGGGTAATCCCTGATGGAGGGCACGGCCTGCAGCAGGTTTTGGTTCAGGAAGAGTTTCCTCAAGGAGCTGAGGGAGATGTCGACAGCGTGGAGGTGGTTGTGGCTCATGTCCAGCACCTGGAGGTGGGGAGGCAGCGGGGCTGGCACTTCATCCAAGCCAGTGTTGGACAGGTTGAAGTGCTGGAGGGATGGTGGCCACTGGCAGGAGGAGGATGGGTCCTCCCTGAGCTCGTTGTGGCTGAGATCCAGGTGCTGGAGCTGTGGCAGCAGCCCCACGCCCTCACACACACCGTGGTAGGAGCTGAGGTTGTTGTGGTGCAGACTCAGCTGCTGGAGCTGAGGGAAAGCTCCCTGGCAGAAGGCAGGGGCCAGGCTCCCATCCCCGAGGCTGTTGTGTGCCAGGTCCAGGGAGTGCAGGGCTCCGAGCAGCCTCCCAATGGCACAGGGCAGGCCGGTGACACGGGAGCCGGTGACAGCCAGCTCCTGCAGGGTCCCCAGCCACCTGCCCAGGCTGGAGAAGGCCGGCTCATGGCCTGTCAGAGGAGCAGAGGTCACGTTGTGGAAGCTCAGGGACAGGATGGGCAGGTCCTGCCCGTCCATGTCACTCCAGTCACCCGTGCCCTGGAAAATGCAGCTGTCAAAGGCCAGCTCCTGCACGTGGGTGTAGGAGAAGAACCTCAGCACACGGGCCAGGAGCACCTCAGGCACCAGGACATTCCCAATAATGATTTTCTGGATGATAAGGGAGCCCAGAGTGTCAATGATGGAGTCCTCCAGGTCCCCAATGGGGAAGGCTGTGTATTTCTCCAGATCTCCACCCCAAAACTCCACCACAGTCGCTGGCAGGCACTGGATGATGCTCCCAGCCGTCTCCTCAGACAGGTTGTAGCACACACAGAACTCCTGGGTGCGGTTGAAGAAACATCTGTTCCTCCTGCCCTGTGCAGCCACCTGCACCCCCAGCCCCAGCAGCAGGAGCAGCAGCACAGCCACACTCATGGTGAGCAACCTAAAAACTGGAGGAGAAACAGTGAGGGGAGCACTCTGACCCATGTTGGGAAGGATGAAAGTTTGACAAGAAAGTCTCACAGATGTGTGTGCTTAGCAGAAAGATTTTTAAATGTAGAGTCTGATGAAGAAATAGAGATGGAAGCAAATTTTGATAGAGAAGAAAGGAATTGTTGAGCCAGTCTTACTGGATAACCAAGGAGGCAAAGGGTGTGTTAGTTAGAAGGGGTTTTTATGGCTTAGAGCAAAAAAACTCACCTCAAACAGGAAGATGTTTTTACCAAGCAGAAAAATAGCACAGGCAAACAAGTCAGCAAATGTTGCAAATAGAAAAAAGGTCTCAGAATTTTCCACTGCAAGAAAACTGAAAAACAATTTCTAGCTTAAACTGTAATGTACTAACTGTTAGTGATTGGAGAATAGTAACAAGAATATGGTAATTATAGTAGTTATGATAGGCTATAGGTAAAAGTTAAGGTATAGATTGGTTCTACTGTATTAAGATGCTCAGCAAAGAAAAGTATATAATGTAATGTGACAAAAGAAAATTATATAATGCATTGTAACCAAAACCAAAGGGTCTCCAGGCCTGCCTGCAGCTGGAGCTGACAGCTGTAGGCACAGCTCTGTCACCCACGACCCTGGACTGCTGGAACCTCTTGAATAGAATAAACTGCATTTTAGAGAGCCCCTGGTGTCCCACACCCCTCATTTCAGCTCTTACAGACCCAGGCTGGAGGGGTGGCTGGGGCAGGCTGAGCCCTGCAGAGCCACCCCTCGGGGACAGGGCACTGCCCTCGTCCCTCTGCACCCGCCTGGCTGCTGAGCCACGGCTGGGACAGCGCTCGGGCAGCAGCCAAACACCCAGGAATGCACCCGTGCCACCTGTGCCACCTATGCCACCAGTGCCACCTGTGCCACCCGTGCCACCTGTGCCACCTGTGCCACCCTGCCCGCCCCGGGAGCCTCCCGAGGCTCTGCCTGCCCTGCCTTGCTGTAGGCTCCCGCTCCAGAACGAGCAGGAAATGCCTGCAGGAACTAGAAATGCGAAGTTACAGACAATTAAGCCAGATGTATCAGTGTGACCAGAGAGAGCCCCAGCTCTGTTTGTTCCTCTGTAATCTGGGGCAGGAAATTGCAACAGATGGCTTCATGTTTTCTCCTTCCTCACCCAGCGATTTGATTCATCCCCAGCCCCCAGAGGGGTGCTAGAAAATGACCCCTGAAGGTGTGAACACATCCCTGCCAGCACCAGGCGCTGGTCAGCCGACACAGTCTGATCTCGGATGGCCAGATTTGCAAAAGAAGCAGCAAGCAAAGATTAAAGGCTCCTGAACATGTGCTGACTCAGCTCAAAGGGGGTTTTGGGGGTCCCCAGCCCAGCCTCCTGCTCCGAGCAGTTCTGTCGCTGGCACCCCCAGCCCGGACCAGGCACAGCTTTCCTTGGCCCCATCCCAGAGCCCCCCAGGCCGGAGCTGTCCCTACCTGTCCGTGCCATCCCGGGGCCGCACCGCCGGGCCCCGCCGCTGTGCCCGCACCTGCAGCGAGCGCCCCTCGGGCTGGGTTTGTGTGTCCGTGTGTCCGTGTGTCTGTGCGGTGACTCACGGCCAGCTCACACCCCAGCGCTTCCTTGCTCCGCTCCTTCCTCCAGCCGCTGCCAAACCCCGCGCGGAGCTGCCAAAGGCTCCGAGCGCCCGGCTCGGCTCAGCTCAGCTCAGCTCAGCTCAGCCCAGCCCCGTCCGGCACCGCTGCTGCTGCCCGGCCCCGCCGGGGGAGCCCTCGCTGCTCCAGCTGTGCCCCAGCTGTGTGCGCCGCTGTGCTCCAGCTGTGTCCAGGTGTGCCCCAGCTGTGTCCAGCTGTGCTCCAGCTGAGTGCCGCTGCCCGGGCCGGGGCTGGCAGACCCTTCGAGCCCCGCTGCCGGGCACAGCCCTCGCTCCCGCAGTGGCCTCTGGCAGGACAGAGCCACCCGAGGCGCTTCTGCTTGGCTTCCCTGCGGCCGGAGCGCCAGCGCCGCTGGCTTTCCTAGGAAGGGGGAGGGAACAGAGCGTGGCCAAGGTTCCCCAAATGCATCTTCGGGACCGGCCCTTCCAGATGCTCTGGTGTTGCTGTGCCTCAGTGTGACCTGGGGTCCCAGGGCGAGGGAAGAGACGAGAATCTTGACTCCATGTTTCAGAAGACTGATTTATTATTTTATGATAGATATTATATTAAAAGAAAATGATATATTAAAACTACACTAAAGAATAGAAGAAAGGATTTCATCAGAAGTGCTCTGGTCTGGCTGACAAGGTTGTGATCAAAGCTTGGACTTGATGATCTTGGAGATCTTTTCCAGCCTAAAAGGTTCTGTGATTCTATGAGCTGTCAGGATTTTTTTTTTTTTTCCCCAGAGATTTCTCTGCCTATGTTGGATTCAGAAAGGGCTTCAGAAAAGTAATGAAATGTTGGAATTTCAGGCTCTCTCTTGCTCCAAGGTCAGGGTGAATAAAACTCAGAAGATGTTGTTTTTAAAGTCTCACTCTGAAGTTTATTATCTATTACAAACTCATGAGATGGGAACTCTCTCTATAAATTGAGAAAGTGAGCTACAATGGTGTCTGTTCATGGCTATTTAAGTCCCAATTACCCAATAAACAGCTGACATCTATATTATTTATGCTTTTAGCCCAGTTATGATCACCCAAAACCCACAATGAGGACATCCTTCATCCAATTAGAGAAAACCACCCAGATTCATGAAGAAGGAAGGAGGTTCAAAAGAGACAACTAACCCACACCCAAAATTCTCCATCTTGGCTCCCATATATCACCATATACGAAAACCCCAAATCTAAGTGTTTTCACCCTGACCAACTTCACACCCATAATCACAGTGCTATTAATCAACTCTGGAAGCCTTCTCCACAGCCCCAGGTCAAATGCAGAGTTCTCTTGTGGGTCTGTGCCTTTCAGCACAGAAAGTTTAAAATTCTCAGCACCCAGGGTTCCAACAATGAAACTGCAGGGCTGGACAATGCAACTCCCAGTTTTCTGTGGGTAATGTGGCACTGCAGCTGGGCTGGCTCCCTTGCTCTCTGGGACTCTTGTGCAGAGGTGCTCAGCAATTCCATGATTCCTCTCCTGCATCCTTGGGTTACATGGAATTCCTCAGCACAAGAAGGACATGGAGCTGCAGCAGCAAGTCCAGGGAGAGCACAGAAATGCTCCAAGGGCTGGGCACAGCATCTGCTGTGTAGACAGGCTGGGAGATGGGGCTCTTCACCTGGAGGAGCTTCAGGAGAGACCTCAGAGCCCCTGCCAGGGCCTAAAGGGGCTCCAGGAGAGGGATTTGGGATAAGAGCCTGGAGTGACAGGACACAGGGAATGGCTCCCACCGCCAGAGGGCAGGGATGGATGGGATATTGGGAAGGAACTCCTTCCTGTGAAGGTGGGGAGCCCCTGGCTCAGGGTGCCCAGAACAGCTGTGGCTGTCCCTGAATCCCTGAAGTGTCCAAGGCCAGGCTGGACAGGACTTAGAGCAAGCTGGGACTGTGGAAGTTGTCCCTGCCTGTAGCCATGATATTTTCTGAAAAATCCTTTCCTTAGGATTTTTCCTTCTGAGAAGCTGAGAGGCCTCAGGAACAAAATGTAACCAATGGTTATCTGCTGTTGTGGAATGCAACAGGTGCATCTGGGATTGGTCTCATGTGGTTGTTTCTAATTAATGGCCAATCACAGTCAGCTGGCTCAGACTCTCTGTCCGAGACACAAACCTTTGTTATTATTCTTTCTTTTTCTATTCTTAGCCAGCCTTCTGGTGAAATAATTTCTTGTATTCTTTTAGTATAGTTTTAATATAATATATATGATAAAATAATAAATCAAGCCTTCTGAAACACGGAGTCAGATCCTCGTCTCTTCCCTCATCCTCACACCCCTGTGAACACGGTCACACCTGCCCATGGTGGAGCGGTTGGAACTGGATGATCTTTAAGGTCTCTTGCTACCCAAAAGGGTCTGGAATTCCATGAAACTGCTGCTGAGTGATGATGGAAAAGTCCCAGCCGCTCTCTGAGCTCCCCTCCTGGCCCCTTCAGACGAGCCCCCAGCTCTGCCCGGGGCTGGCACCTTCAATTTCTGCCCTCCAGCCGCAAATTCCCCGAAAACCTCGCTGGGGAACTGTGACTATGGTCACAAGGGTTTTCAGGATGAAGAAGAGATGAGAATGTTGACTCTATGATCAGAAGGCTTGATTTATTATTTTATGATATATGTTACATTAAGACTATACTAAAAAGAAATAGAAAGGAAAAGGTTTCTTCAGAAGCTAGCTAAGCTAAGAATAGAAAAGCATGAATAACAAAGATCTGTGTCTCAGACAGAGAGCAAGAGCCAGCTCTGCCATGAGTGGTCAGGAAATCTAAACATCTACAGAAGACCAATCACGGGTTTACCTGTTGCATTCCACAGCAGCAGATAACCATTTTTACTTTTGGTTGCTGAAACTGCAGCTTGTTACAAGGAAAAATCCTAAGAAAGGATTTTTCATGAAAGATGTCTGCGACAGGGAACTGCCCTGCCCCATGGTCCCTGGGCAGGGACCCGCCTTGTTCCGCATTTCTGGTGAACCTTTGGGGGCTTTTTTTGCCCTCAGAACAACCAGCACCCATCCCATCCCATCCCATCCCATCCCATCCCATCCCATCCCATCCCATCCCATCCCATCCCTGCGGGGCACAGCCGCCCATGCCCGGAGCGGGCTGGACGCTCCACTGGCGAAGGACGGCCGGGATCGTGTTTTCCCCGCCCCGGGACCGCCCCAGGACGGCCTTTTCCTCCTCCTCTTCCTCCTCCCGCTCCTCCTCCTCCCACTCCGCCATGTGGGGCCGGCGGCGGGCCCGGCGCGGCGGGCACAGCGCGGAGGAGCTGCGGGAGCGGCGGCGGGAGCGAGAGGCAGGTCCGGCCGGGCACTGCGGGCACTGCGGGCACTGCCGGGGGTGTGCGGGGTCCCCCGGCCGTGGGAGGGACCCCCCAGCTCAGCCCTTGCCATCCCCGTCCCCATCCCCGCCCCGCGGGATGCGCGGGGTGAGCGGCGCCGCTGCCCGCCCGGGGAAGCGTTTTACAGCTTCAGGCTTTAACCCTTGGGGTTTCTGCCATGAATTCCCCGTTTCTGCCATGAATTCCCCGTTTCTGCCATGAATTCCCCGTTTCTCCCACATCTCCCCAGTGTTTGGGTTTTCCAAGGTCTCAGCCTGGAGCAAAGGAGGCTCAGGGGGGACCTTGTGGCTCTGCAGAGCTCCTGACAGGAGGGGGCAGGAGGGGAGGTCGGTCCTGCTCCCAGGGAACAGGGACAGGAGGAGAGGAACGGCCTCAGGCTGGGCTGGGGAGGTTCAGGTTGGATATTAAGGAAAATTTCTTCATCAGAAGGGTGGTCAGGCATTGGAACAGGTGGAGTCGCCATTCCTGGAGGTGTTTTTCAAAAACAAGTAGATGGGGCAGCTAGGGCATGGCTTAGTGGCCATGGTGGTGTTCAGCTGAAGGCTGGAGTTGATGATCCTGCCCGTCTTTTCCAACTTCAATGATTTTCTGATCCTGTGTGAAATCCAGCCTCAGGTCCCTCCAGCTGGCCCCGTGTTCCTGCCCCTTATCCCAGAGGTGCCTTCACACTTTGTGTGCCTGACCCTCAGCCCAGCTCCAAGTGCAGCCCTGCCCATGCATCCCTTCCAGGCTTGCACAGGGAGGAGTGGGCGGCTCCTCCCGGGATTAAGGGAGGAGTGATGCCCCTGGGGGGCTGGGAGGAGTGTCCTGCCCGGGCAGGTGTGACTGGGGCCCTGGTGCCCTGCAGCTCTCCGCAGGGCCCGGCGGCAGGAGCAGCTGGTCAGCAAGCGGCTCCTGCGGGAGGACAGCGCCGCCCAGGAGGGGACACAGGATGGAGCAGATGTCGTGCCAGACCCGCTCTCAGAGGATGAGGTGAAGAACCTGACTTTCTCACATGCTCTTCCCCAGACTCAGCATGTGAAGGAGGCTGGGCAGGGCTGGGTTTGGGAATGGTTCTGGTTCACTGCCAGGCACAGTTAAGGCTCCTTGTGCCCACCTTTATGCCCTGGGCTCCTTTGCCTCAAGGATTTATGGGGTGCAATCTTAATGCTGGCAGTGCTGGCAGCTCAGCCACCTCTGAATTCCCTGGGCAGGTTCTGGAGCTCCTCCGGGGTGTGCAGAGGGGTTCGGAGGACAGGAGGCGATGGCTCAGCCGCCTCCGCTGGGCTCTGCAGAATGAGGACACTCAGCAGAAGTTTGTCAGGTCAGCCAGGCCTGCTGTGCCTCTCACCAGGGGTCCTGAGGGGCCCCGTGTCCCTGTGCTTGGGTGGCTGAGCTGGGAGGTGACAGCAGCCTTTGTGTCCCCAGGCTGGATGGCAGCATCCGGACGCTCACGGGGCTCTTCACCAGCAGCCTGGCTGAGCTGCAGCTGGAGGCTGCCCGCTGTCTGCACGAGCTGTCCCACTCCAGTGTCCCTGCTGTGGCCGAGGCCTGCCTGCCTGTCACCTCCTACCTGCTCACCTACCTGTCGGGACACAGCCTGGAGCTCACGGTGAGGTCCATGGGAGATCCATTCCCACCTGGGAATCCTGTGGGGTGCTTGGTGTTGGTCTCTGCTGGTCACACGTGGCTCATGTGGGAGCTGCTCAGGAGGGGCCCTCTGGAAGCAAAAATCTTTTGGCATCACAGCCTCACCCTCAGAGCAGGACTGTTCCCAGTGCCCAGGTGTTACAACCTGCCCTGAGCTGGGGTAACTGAGTTCTTGTTCATCACAGATCCCTTGGGTTGGATTAGAGTGGAACCACAGTGAGTGACCCATGTTTATGTACATATATGTGTATATATATATATATTTACATATATATACATATATGTATATATATATCTATATATGTATATATATATATATATATATATATCGATATCTATGGTAGGTTTATTCTAGAACAATTTGCAATAGAAAGGAGGTATGTAACCATTTTGGTTGTTATCTGTAGAAAGACACAATATAGAAGTACAAAGATATCACTTAAGAAAATATATAAAGAAAAGAAAGAAAGGATAAGAGTAGATAGAGTTCCTGTGGTTCCACTCAGTGCAGCTTGGTCTGGGAGGGAGCAAACAGCTGCAGTAGCTGTGGGTTGGCCAGGTGTTTTCCAGCTGCTCCATGGGGAAGCAGACAGGCTCAGAGCTCAGGAGGGAGGTGGGCAGTGACCCCACTGCTGATCCCATTTGAGTGCAGCACACAGGCAGGCTCCAGGAGAGCTGGGGAAATGTCATCCTGAAAAACCTCCACAGCTTCAGCCAGACAGAAGAATGAACTGGAGGTGATGGAGCTGGGAAGGGGGTGGCTGGAGAGTGCAGCAGCATCCACCTGTGTTTGGCCCTGCAAGGGCAGCTCCTACCCTGCTCAGGGCAGTGTGTGGGCCTGGGGCTCTGCTGCCTGCCCAGGGGTCACCTCCTGCTCTGCTGTGTCCTTGCAGGAGCTGTGTTTGTACACACTGGGGAACCTCGTAGTAGAGAGTGAGGCTGTGAGGAAGCAGCTGCTGCCTCAGGGCATTATTCCAGTGCTGGCATCCTGCATCCAGGTGGGTGAAACAGCTCAGCCACGTTTCTGCTGTGCCCTGGAGAGACTTTTCTGGCTGACAGCCCTGAGTTACCAGCCCTCCTTCCAGCTCTGGGGAAACTGCAGGGAGCTGTTCCCACCAGCCTGAGGGTCACTTGTGGGCTCCCTGTGCTCATTCTCAGGGCTCAGCTCAGCACCTTGGGCTCTTCTCCAGCTGAATCCCCTCATCCAGTGGCTGCCTGGTACAGTCTGTAGCACAGGGAGCCCTGTCCCCTCTGCCTGGCCTGAGTCCAGCAGGGCTGTGGTTTGCAGGTCCAAATGCTCAAACCAGGACTTTAGCTGCATTTGGGCTAAGCCCAGTGAATGTGGGGAGGGGAACAGCCCAGCTCTGGTGTGGCCACAGGTTCCTGTGTCCCTCCTGGTCCCCTGTGTGCCCCCTCTTCTCCAAGCACAGGGGGGCTGTGCCACTCAGCTGGGTTTGGCTGGCACCTTGGGGCCCTGGCTCTGCCAGGAGGGATCAGCTCTGCCAGGAGGGATCAGCTCTGTTCTCTTTGTTGCAGTCCCCTCACGAGGCAGTGCTGGAAGGTGTGGGCTATGTCCTCTCACAGCTCCTCCAAGCCAAGGAAGCACCCACAGACATCATCCCGTGAGTCTGAGCCTCTGCACCCTGCACCAGGACAGGCCCTGGGGCCTCCAGTGGTATTTGTGTGCTGGGGACATGAGGCCTTTCCCATCCCAGTGACATTCATAGTTCAGGGCACAATCCTGCCAGAACTGTGCAAGTTTTGATGCAGATCAGGGAGCAGGGCTTGGCTCCTTTCCCTCAGCCTCATCTGAGCAGACAGCTCTGGTATTTCAGTAAAGGCCAGCATGGAGCAGGGAAGGCTTGCAGGGAATTCTGGCTCTGTTCCTCTTGCAAAGGAAAAGATCAACTTGACAGCCCCCAGTGCCAAAAATGTGACCCCAATCAGAGTGTCCTGAGTGTCCCCAGGCCCTGCCATGGACAGGGAGGGCCAAGGCCACAGCCCTTGGCTCAGAGTCCCTTCCAGGTGTGTGCTTTGATCCTGTGGCCCCCAGGATGGTTACAGCAGCTCCCTGCTCAGGGTTTGTGTCTCCCTGTTGGTGTCCTGCCTGTGCTCCAGCCCGTGCCTCCATTAACTCTGCTCTCTGTCCTCAGACTGGTCCTGGACTCTGCTCTCCCCCAGCACATGCTCCAGCTGGTCTGCTCTGGCCTCAAGGCTGCCACGGGAGCAGCTGTGGAGTTTGCCTGGTGTCTCCACTACATCATTTGTAGGTAAATGCAGTTTTCTCCTCATTTTGAGTTCCCTGGGGGCAGGCAAACCGAGGCATGAAGGCTCATGGCCCTGTGAGGGGATCTGGACTGCCTCCCCTTTTCCCTTGGGAAAGAATTCCCCAGCCAGCCTGGGTGTCCCAGCTCTCCTGTCTGAGCTGTTTGCAGGATCACTGAGCTCTTTTACAGGGTGGTAAAGGGGGAGGAACCCGAGGAGGCTGTGTCTAGTCCTCTGAAATGCCCCCAGATTGCTTCCCCATGCCTGGAGTTGTCCCCCACCCTTCCCAAGGCAAGCTCCCTGAATCCTCACACTGTGGGGCTGGTCCAGGGCCACCCATCTGGGCTGTGCCAGCAATCCCTGCCTGCCACTGGAGCCAGGGAATGAGTAGGGAATGATGCTCAAGGGTCAGGGCTGTTCCCAGACCCACACAGATAATTCCAGTGAATCTGTTTTTCATGGGCTTTTAAATTTTCTCATAAACTCAGGAAAAAACCTGCTATTCCAATGTGAAATAAGTCACTGTTCCAACATGAAACAAGCCCTGTGGTGGTTCAGGAGAGCACTCTGAATTCCCAGGCCCTGCTGTTTGGTGAGGGGATGTGGCAGTCTCCCCTCTCCAAGCTCCAAGGCACTGCACTGTCCCTCCCTGTGCAGGCACAAGGACAATGAGCTGCTGCTGGCCCTGGGGGCCGTGCCCGCGCTCACCTCGCTCCTGCTCGACCTGGCTGCCCAAATCCCCCAGGAGGCTCCCGAGGGCCTGGAGCTGGTGAGAGGTGGGCAGGGGCTGGCTGTTCTCATCCTGCCTGTGGGGACACTGCTCAGCTAAAGCCCTGCTGTGTCCCTGTGTCACAGCTGGTGTGCCCCGTGCTGCGGTGTCTCAGTAACCTGCTGGCACAGACAGACTGCCAGGGCCTGGACAGACGGCTGCTCGTCGCCCTGTTCCTCATCCTGCAGTGCTTCCTGCAGCAGCACCCCTTCCTCATCCACGAGTGCCTGTGGCTGCTCAACAACCTCACAGGTCAGTGTCCCACAGCTGCTGGCACAGCTGGGCACTGCTGGCACCGCCCTGGTTTTGTTCACCTGTTCCTTCTGTGCCCACCCAGCGGATGATCCCTCCTGCTGCTCCGCTCTTCTGTCCCTGGACCTGCTGCCAGCCCTGCTGCAGCTCCTGACGTGTTCCCAGATGGGCACAGTGCTGGTAAACCCTGCCCCAGGCACTGGCAATGCTGGGGGAGCGCTGGAGTGTCAGGAGCATGAATCCCACACTGCCAGTGCTGGAGCTGGGGGGTGGATGGGGCAGCAGTGCCAGCTTGGCAGGAGGTCTCCACCTCCCCTGGAGCCACTCCAGCTGGGTGTGCCCTTGGCAGAGCCTTGTCCCAGTGTAAGGGTGGTCCCAAGGGAGGTGTTAGCTTGGGGCCACCTCAGAGCAGGTCTGGGAAGGCTCCTGCCTTTGCTTTGGAAAGCCCCAAAGCTTTAGGAGATTGGGGACTCTGGCAGGAGTGGGTGGTGAGGCTGGGTCTGCCTGGCATGGGGATGAACAGTGCCTTGGGTGGGTGTGGAGAAGGCTTCCCAAATCCAGTGGTTTGGTGGGCACTTGGCTGTGGGCAAGCACCTGGCAGGACAAGAAAGAAAGGTGGAGAGGGACTTCAGGCAAGGGCATGAGTGACAAAACTAGGAATGGTTTCACCCTGAGAGGGCAGGGTTAGATGGGACATTGGAAGAACTCTTTGCTGTTAGAGTGGTGAGGCCCTGGCACAGGTTGCCCAGAGAAGGGATGGGGCTTGGAGCAGCCTGGGATGGTGGAAGGTGTTCCTGGCCATGGCAGGGCTTGGGCTGGGTGAGCTTTAAGGTCCCTTCTAACCCAAACCACTGCACACCTCCATGGCATGGGGAGTGGTTGGGAGCCCTCCCAAGCCTGTCAGGAATGTGCCCATGGAGCATTCACTGCTCCCTCCTGTCCCTCCCACAGGTCCTGACTGTGCTGTGCAACGTGGCAGAGAAGGGACAGTTCCAGTGCCAGCAGCTGCTCCAGCAGCCCCTCCTGGCCCAGCTCCTTCCCCTGCTCTCACTGCCTGACCCTGAGGCCGTGGGGCAGTGCCTGGAGCTGCTGCACCTCCTCTTCCTGCACTGCCCAGAGGTGAGAGCTCAGGGGGCAGGACTGTAGAGGGGATGGGAAGTGATTACTCTGGGGGTTGTTGTTGTTGTGGAGGGGGATTATTGTCATAATCTGAGTCACAGTGCCCTCAGTGACTGCCACACTGCCCTCCACCCCCCAGCAGCCAGGCCCCTGCCCAAAGGGGCACTGTTATGCACAGGGTGGGTGGAAGCTCTTCTTGTATCTGCAGAGTTCCTTTCTTATTGGCAAGGACTGCTTTTGGGGCAGGTTGTTTCTCCCCCAAGTTTTCTTTTGCTCCTGCTGAAGTTGCTCCACTTGCTGCAGCTCACAGGAATGAATTCTCTGTGAGGTGGGCAGGCCCTGGCTCAGGGTGCCCAGAGCAGCTGGATGCCCATCCCTGGATGTCCAAGGCCAGGCTGGATGAAGTCTGGAGCACCTGGTGGAAGGTGGCCCTGCCCATAGCAGGGGGTGGGAATGAGAGGGGCTTTTAAAGTCCCTCCCAGCCAACCACCAGCATGGTGGGGTTTACCTGGATTGGGAATGCAGATCTGGGAGGGCTCTGGGGAATTCCTTCAGCCCTGTAACCTGGGATGTGGTGGCTTGGGCAGAGGTGATCAGCTGCAGCACCCAGCCAGCTCTCACCCTCTCCTATCACACAGGCTGCTGCTGAGTTCACCAGGCAAGGTGGGCACCAGGCCCTGGAGCAGCACCAGAGCACCCCAGAGCTGCAGGAGCGGGCACAGGCACTGCTGGACATGGTCAGGCAGCCCCCAGGAGCCTCCAGTGCCTGCCAAGCCACACTGGCTGCCTCCTCCTAGGCCTCACCCTCTCCCTTACCTCCTCTGAACTGCCAGGGGAGGAATAAACTGCTCACCCCAGTGCCCAGCTTCCCAAGGGATGTTCAGGGCTCTGATGTGCCCAGTGCTGGCTGCATGGGGGGCTGGTTCTTGTCACCACCCAGTAAGCACCAGCCTGGTGTCCCCCAGAGCCTGGAGCAGGGGCAGAGCTGAGCTGCAGCCCAGGCAGATTCTCCTGTGCCAGGGAGGGCTGAAGGGCTGCATCAGCCATTCCTTGGGCTCTCAGCCACCACCAAGCTCAAGGTAAGCACATTGTGTTTATGAATTGATAAATTAAAGATACATCTTTGACATTAAAGATAATCAGTCGAGTCTCCAGCAGGTGTGTACTTCCTGTCTGTTGTCATGCATGGCCTTTCACGACGCTCTCCAGGGCCTTGCCCACTTCATCCACACTCAGGTTGCTCAGTGGGATGCTCTTCTCCTTCCCAAACTCTGTGGGAAAACAGGCAGACTGAGAGGGGGCAGGTGTGTGCATCCTTTCCTGCTGCAAGGCACTGATGTCACAGCCCAGGCTCCCATCACCACATCCCAGTGTTCCTCCACGTGCCCAAGTTATCATTTCCACCTTCTTATTCTCCTCTGTTCTCTTGGAAAGAACCCAAAGCAGCTCAACACCTTTCCCAGTCTCCTTTTGTTAGTTCTGCCTGGGCAGACACACATCCAAGAGCAACCCTGTGGCCTTCAGCCTCGTCCCAGCAAGGTGCTCTCCTCAGGAAAGCAGCCTAAAAACTCTGTTCCTACAGCTGCCCCAACCTGGGCTGACCCTGGGCTCCATTTCCCTGCCAGTCCCACCCACACACATGAGACTCCTCTGGTCTGTGTGCTCACACTGGAAAACCTGTGCTTAAAGAGTCATAAATACTGACGGTCCCTGAGGTCCCTTCCAACCCCAACCATGCTCTGATAATCCGGTGGTGTTTCCCGGCGGGCACCCCCTACTCACCGTACCGAGCCCAGAGCTTGGGCTGGATCCCGGAGCACTCGCGGATCAGGATGGGGAAGTCGGGATTTGCCTTCTTCAGGGTCACGTAGTGCTGCTCGATGAATTCCCTGCGGAGGGAAGGAGGAGCGGCGGGTCCCTCTGGCTCAGCCCGGGGGTGTCTCGCTCCCCCGGAGGAGCGCCCCCGGCCCCGGCCCGGCCCATCCCCGCGCTGACCTGACGCCGCGGCTGCTGGGGGAGCGCTGGCACAGGTGGATGCGGAGCTCCCTCAGTCCCAGGCCCAGCCTGCCCCCGATGCTCTTCACAGCGGCCGCCGCCATCTTCCCTGCCCGGACAACAGCGGGGGCGGGATCGCGGCGCCTCCGCCAATCGCAGCGCCCGCTGCGGCACGTCCACCAATGGGAGTGCTCGCTGTGATCACACCCGCCAATGGGAGCGCTCTCTGTGATCACACCCGCCAATGGGAGCGCTCTCTGTGATCACACCCGCCAATGGGAGCGGCGGCCGCGGGGTGCGCTGGGAGGGCCGCGCAGAGCGGAAGGGTCGCTCAGCGGAGCTGGGAGCGCAGCGATGCCGGACCGCGACAGTGAGTTCGGGGACAGGGACAGGGACACGGCACACGGGGCATTCCCAGACACCCCCGGGCCCCGACACTTGGCCCGCGCGGGGCTGTCGCGGTGCTTGTGGCAGGGCGGGCGGCAGCGGCCCGGTGGGGGGCAGTGTAGGCCCAGCCTGTCCCCGGGATCCCCGGCCTGGTGCGAGGGGCGGCTCTGTGGGAGGACGGGCTGCGGCCACAGCCCGCGGGGCCGGGCAGGGACCCCGCGGGACCCTTGGGCAGCCCAGGGTGAGGAGCCAGGCGGGAGTGCGGCGGGGATTGGCACCGGGGCGCCCCGGGAGTGGGGCCGAACGGTGTTTCGTGCCCTGGAGAGGATGCAGGGGCAGTCCCGGGGTGCGGGGGACGGGACACCCTCGGGGGGGCCCCGGGACACCGCCTAGAAGGCACAGAGCCGCGGGGCTGCGGGGCTGGCAGTGGCACCGGGACCCCCGTGTCCTGTGCAGGCCGGCCCGGGTGAGCTCGGGCTGGGATCCAGCTCGGAGCCACAGGCGGACACCGCTCCCTTCGTGGCTCCTGGGAGGGTGTGAAGCTGTGCAGGCAGTGCCTGAGCTCTCTCTCTCCTGTCCCCAGATGAGCCGTTCTCCAACCCCCTCGCCCCCGAGGGCCACGATGTGGACGACTCGCACTCCTTCCACCAGTGAGTACAGCCCTGGGGCCCTGGGCTGGGGCTGGAGCAGCACTGAGGGACCCCAGGGCAGTTCCCATGGAAGTCACTGGTGCACTCCAGCCTTTGGGCCCTCTCCACGGGTACCTGGTGCCCATGTTGGTCACACAGGACCTGCTCCTCCTCCAGAGCTCTTTGGGAGTGATGGTTTTTGTTCCTTCCCTCCCTTGCAGGTCCAAGCTGACCAATGAAGACTTCAGGAAGCTTCTCATGACCCCGCGGGCTGCGCCAACATCTGCGCCACCCTCCAAATCTCGCCACCATGAGTGAGTAGGGCTCTGTTTCACAGGTCCATGGGACAATCCCTTTCCCTCTGGGGCTCTGGGCCCAGCTGACCCTCTCCCCTGCACTCTGCAGGGAAATATCTACAGGGCCTTTTGCCAGTGAGTGTGGGAAGGGGGGAAGCAGGTGGGTCAGGGCTGTTGTAAAGAAAAGAGCAAAGCTTCGTGGCTGTTAAGACACTTTGTGCAGGAGGTGGATTTGGTTTAGTGAAAATCAGTCTTTTCCCTTCCTCTCCCTGCTGACAGTGTAGAATTAGAGGAAAATTAAGGGTGAAAAACTGTTCTGTTCCATCTCTGAGCACCTCAGTGCTGTGCTGTGTCTGAGGGACTGTTCTGTTCATCTGTCACCCATGTGGCTCTGCAGACTGTACATGTGTTTTTTCACCCTTTTCCAGGATGCCCCGGGAGTACAACGAGGATGAAGATCCAGCTGCTCGCAGGAGGAAGAAGAAAAGGTAAGTGGGGAAAGAGAGGCAGCAGGACTTGTCATTATGCATCATGTCCTGCCAGTGGAAGCAGTTCTGGTCTCTTGTGCTCCCAAAGAGGGCCTTGAATGGATTACTCAAAAGCTTTGGAGAAGAGCTCAGGCTGAGGAACTGTCACTGCTTGTGCGAACAGCTGTGGGTGGGCAGCAGTAGGATGGGGCTGAAGCTTCACCTCCAGAAGAAGCAGGAGAGGCCCTGTGGGTGTCTGGGAGAGCAGGGCAGTGGTGGGCCCTTGCACTGCTCCCTGTGTGCTTTGGGACATGTCTGCACAGCAGGACTGCACTGGACCCCTTCCCTTTGGAAGGGAGGACGGAGCTCCTCAGTACAGCAGTTTCCTCCAGGCCTGTTGTGTCCCATGGTGCTGTAGTGCATTTCTGGGGAGGGACTGGGAGCAGAGTGGGTGTGTGTGAGGCCTCAGGGCTGTTAGCTGACCCCAAGGGCACGAGCAGGTCACAGTTAACCCTGAGCTGTGTCCCACCCACAGTTACTACGCCAAGCTGCGGCAGCAGGAGATCGAGCGTGAGAGGGAGCTGGCCGAGAAGTACCGTGACCGAGCCAAGGAGAGGAGGGATGGAGTGAACAAGGACTACGAGGAGACAGAGCTGATCAGCACCACGGCCAACTACAGGGCTGTGGGGCCCACGGCCGAGGCGTACGTGGGCTGTGCTGGGGGCTGGGCTGGCCAGGCTGGGCTGGGGGGGCTGGCCCTCACCTGCCTCTGCTCTCATTGCACAGGGATAAATCTGCTGCAGAGAAGAGGAGACAGTTGATCCAGGAGTCCAAGTTCTTGGGTGGTGACATGGAGCACACTCACTTGGTGAAGGGTCTGGACTTTGCCCTGTTGCAGAAGGTGAGTGCAGATATCACAGTGCTGCTCTTGGCCTGTCTCTCAGACACACAGGCTGGGTGTTACCACTTGGTCCTGGCAGCGTGGATTTCCCTTCCTGGGAAGGGTTGCTGCAGGGCTGGGGATCTGATGGGGCTCACAGAAGGGCAGCAGTGGCATGGGTTGGGCTGTAATGTGTGGATTTGCTCTGCATCTAGGTACGAGCTGAGATTGCCAGCAAGGAGAAGGAAGAGGAGGAAATGATGGAGAAGCCCCAGAAAGAAACTAAGTGAGTGATTGAGTATTTGGCATTCCTGAGTGCAGCTGCTTGCCAGAGAGGAGCATGCAGAGGAACCATTCACTTGGCTCTAACACTTCTGGTTTCTGTTTCTGTTTAGGAAAGATGAAGATCCTGAGAACAAAATTGAATTTAAGACCCGGCTGGGTAAGACTGTGTTGATGTGGCTGTTCCCCACCTTGTCTGAGCTGTGAATGTGGGAGAAATCCTGGAGGGTGAATGTAGGCATGAAAACCATTGGAGGGGGAAATTCCTGAATTTGGGGACTGAAGGAAGTGTGTACTTAGGACGTGATCTCATATTGCTGATAAACTAAAGATGGTTCACTTTGGCCTTATCCTCTGCTTTCCCACACTTTTCCTTCTGCCCAGGCCGCAACATTTACCGCATCCTGTTCAAGAACAAGACGTACGAGCGGAACGAGCTGTTCCTGCCGGGCAGGATGGCCTACGTGGTGGATCTGGATGATGAATACGCCGACACCGACATCCCCACCACGCTGATCCGCAGCAAGGCCGACTGCCCCACCATGGAGGTACCCAGCTGGGCTGCCCCTGCTCCACCTCACTGCTCTCAGCTGGCCAGAGCACGTTGTTCTGGGAGGGGTTTCCTGTCAAAGGAGTGGGGATGCTTCCTCATGGATTTCCCTTTCAGGCCCAGACCACGCTGACCACCAACGACATCGTCATCAGCAAGCTCACGCAGATCCTCTCCTATCTCAGACAAGGCACCCGCAACAAGAAGCTCAAGAAGAAAGACAAAGGTAGGAGGTGAAAGGAACCAAGTAATAGGATTTTAGTGCTTGGAGCATATCCCAAGGGAATAGGATGTGTTCTGGTTTGTGGTTTTCCCCTGTGCCATGAGACAGTGGGCTTGGAGAGCAGTGATTTTCTGAGTGCTGAGTCCTGAAGGCAGGAGCACATTGGACAGGCTGCTGGGAAATGAGAGCTGTGAGGGAGGGTACCTTGTGGTGCTCTGCTCTTCCTGATGAAGGCCCAGTTCCTTGGGGAAATGCCCCCTCTTGGGGGAGACACAGTGGCTTCCTGGGGGGACTGGGTATGAGGTGACATCCTCCAGGCTTGCCACTCTTGCAGCTTGGAACCTGGACAGGGACAGGGGGGCAGCACAGGGGGCAGAGTGGATGATGTGCTTCTCACTGCTCTTGTGTCCTTGCAGGGAAGCTGGATGAGAAGAAGCCTCCTGAAGCTGATATGAAGTAAGTGCCTCTCTGCTCTCTGGCAATGGGGTCACAGCTCTGTCTCTTAGGGAATGGCTTTTTGGCCCACCCCCCACATTTAGAGAGGGCTGAGTTTGGAGCTGCTGGACCTACAGTTTGTAGGACAAGGCTGAAGGCAAGCTCTGGTTTGGATTTCAGGCTTGAGGCAGGTGAGGGCTCACTGTTGCCCTGGACCACACAACTCAGGTCCTGCAGCAGAAGGGAGCAGAGGTGCAGTGATACCTCTGACAGATGTGGAAACCACTTCCATATCTGCTGTCCTTAGCTCTTGGTGCTGGTCCTGTGTGCTCCAGGTGACAAGGAGGTGGTTATGGCTTCTTCCTGCAGCACATGTAACTCCAGGCTCTTTTCCACTTGTAGCATCTTTGAAGACATTGGGGATTATGTTCCCTCCACTGCCAAGATGCCACGGGACAAGGAACGGGAGAGGTACCGGGAGAGAGAGCGGGACCGGGACCGGGAGCGAGACCGGGAGCGAGAGCGGGACCGGGACCGGGAGCGCGAGAGGGACAGGGAGAGGGACCGCGAGCGTGAGGAGGAGAAGAAGAGGCACAGCTACTTTGAGAAGCCCAAGGCTGATGATGAGGTGAGTCTCTGCTCGTGAAGGACTGTCCCACCTGAGGTGTGCCCTTTGTGGGGCTGTCCCACCTGAGATGTCCCACAAAGGGCAGATCTCAGGTGGGACAGTCCTTCACGAGCACTGGGGGGCTTTGGGTATCTCTGGTTGTGCCCCTGCATGGGCCAGTGTCAGCTCCTGCTGAGCTCTGCATGTCCCCAGAGCTTGCTGGGTGGCTGGATGCCTGTCCTGTCCCTCAGCAAGGGAGGCAGCACTGGCACCAGCCTGCTGGGTTTGTGGTTCAGCTCTGTGTCATTGACACTGTCTCTCCCTCTTCTTTGCAGCCCACAGACATTGACAAAGGTGAGTCAAGTGGGGTGGGTATCTGAGAGGGATGGGACAAGGGGGAATGGTTTTGAGCTAAAAGAGGAGAGATGTAGATTAGATATTAGGAAGGAATTCTTCCCTGTGAGCCTGGGGAGGCCCTGGCAGAGGTTGCCCAGAGAAGCTGTGGCCACCCCATCCCTGCAAGTGTCAAGGCCAGGTTGGATGGGGCTTGGAGCACCCTGGGATAGTGGAAGGTGTCCCTGCCATGGCAAGGAGTTGGAACAAGACAGGCTTCAAGATCCCTTCCAACACAAACTGTTGTAAGATTCCAGGGCTCCTGGGATCAGCCCATCCCATCAGTGCCAAACTGGTTTGCTCCTCTTGTACCTAATGTGAGGCAGCTTATCCTGCCTGTTACTGTGTCCCAAAGGGATCTGCCCAGCCCCAGTGTTGTGCAGTGAGCTGTTCTCCTCCCCAAATGTAACCTGCTGCTTTCTCTACCCCAGGACCTGGCTCAGCCAAGGAGCTCATCAAGTCCATCAATGAGAAGTTTGCTGGAGCTGCTGGCTGGGAGGGAACAGAGGCATATCCTTTTCTGTCTGTGCCAGCCTGACTGGCTGTGGGGCTGGGCTGCCCTTGCAGGCACAGGCACATCGGGGGGGCTGTCCTGCCTCACCTGGTAGCACAAAAATGCCTCTTCCACACCAAACAAAAGCTCTGCACTGCCCAGTTTGGTTGTGTTGGGGCAGGAGGGGGTTTTCAGCTGGCTGTGCCCAGCCTGCAGCTGTAAGGCTCAGCTCATGTGGTGCTTTCCTTAACTGCTGGCACTTTGAAGAAGCCAGAAGACAAGAAGCAGCTGGGAGACTTCTTTGGCATGTCCAACAGCTATGCTGAGTGCTACCCTGCCACGTAAGGAGCAGTGGGGAGCTGGGGGTGGGAGCAGGCTGTGCTGAGGGGCTGCTGTTCTCTGGCAGTAAGAGCTTGAACATCAGCCCCACTGCTTGGTGGGGAGCAGGCCTGGCCTTGTCTGTGGCAGCAGCTGACTGGGAAAACCATCCCAAGCCCTTGGGCCTTCTTAGCTGCTCTCTGCTGTGGGTGGCTGCCTGGAGCCTGCTGCCCCTCAGAGCCAGGGGGAGGCTGAGGTAGCTGGGAATCTGCTGGATTCCCAGTTAATCCATGTGGTTGTGAAGCTGTGGCCTCCCTCAGTGGGAGAGGAACATCTTTCAGCCTGCAGAGTCATCCTGGAAGCATTTCCAACCTTGGATGCCTTGTGGTACAGGTCACCTGCAGGGCTTGCAGCTGGGGCCACTTCCCTCTGGCCCAGGAGCTGAGTGTGTTTGGTCTGAGGCCATGAGACATGATTCCCACCAGCTCCAAGGTCCTGGTCCATCTCATGGACACACTCTGAACCCTTTCCTTGCTTTTTCTCTCCAGAATGGATGATATGGCTGTGGACAGTGATGAGGAGGTGGACTACAGCAAAATGGATCAGGTATGTTGGCACCAGCCCTGAGGAGCAGCCAGCAAAGTAGGCACCAATGCCAGCTGAGAGGATCCCATGGGGAAAAAGCAGCACTGGAGCTGGGTGCTGAGTGGGCTTTGGGGTTTGCTGATCTGCTCCCTGTTGTGTTGGGGAGCAAACAGATGTCACTGGCACTTGACCCACAGGCATGCTACTCATTCTGACTTCCACAAAATCTGTCTGGAACTTCTTGGGGAGGGGATCTGGAGCCAAGGCCCTTGATCTGGGGCTGGTGGGAGATGGAGCCTCGTGGCTGGGTGTGCAGGGCTCTGTGAGAAGCCCTCCCAGTAACTGAGGAGCTGCTCTGAGTCATTCTCTCCCTGCAGGGTAACAAGAAGGGGCCCCTGGGCCGCTGGGACTTTGACACGCAGGAGGAGTACAGCGAGTACATGAACAACAAAGAGGCTCTGCCCAAGTGAGTGCAGCCCTCAGGAGGGGCCAAGGGAGGGTGCTGGGTGGGATGGCCATGCTGGCCAAGCCTGGGTGCTGGGGCAGCTTAAAGCAAGCTGGGGGCTCCCTTGTGAGAACCTGAGGAGGAGCTGTGGGTCCTGGGGCTGGTTTGCTTTTAGTGTCACTCCTGAGGACTCATGTGATGGTGTCCACAGGGGACTTAGGATGAGGGAAGAGATGAGAATGTTGACTCCATGTTTCAGAAGGCTTGATTTATTATTTTATGATATATATTATATTAAAACTATACTAAAGGAATAGAAGAAAGGATTTCATCAGAAGGCTGGCTAAGAATAGAAAAGGAATGAAATAATAACAAAGGCTTGTGGCTTGGACTCTCTGTCCAAGCCAGCTGACTGTGATTGGCCATTAATTAGAAACAACCACATGAGACCAATCACCTGTTGCATTCCACAGCAGCAGATAATCATTGCTTACATTTTGTACCTGAGGCCTCTCAGCTTCTCAGGAGAAAAAATCCTAAGGAAAGGATTTTTCATAAAATGTATCTGTGACAGACTCTGGCCCAGGCGCTGCTTTCAGGGGCTCAGGCCAGCTCTGGAGCATGTGCTCGTGGCTGGGGAGATGTGTCCCTTCCTGTGGCAGGCCAGGGATGCCCTGTGAGTGCTGAGCCATGTCTTGCTCCCTCTCCAGGGCCGCCTTCCAGTACGGCATCAAGATGTCCGAGGGGCGCAAGACGCGCCGCTTCAAGGAGACCAACGACAAGGCGGAGCTGGACCGGCAGTGGAAGAAGATCAGCGCCGTGAGTGCCCGCCTGGGCTGGGGCTGCTGTGCCAGGAGCTGCCACCCAGCCCTGTCCTCGCTGTCCTGGCATGGCCAGTGGGCGTGTGAGCACCAGGGCTGGCTCCTACCAGCTGGGTTTGCTCCTTGCCAGAGCATCAGCCAAATGCTCAGGGCTTCAGTACTGCAGAGGTGGCTGGAGCTCTGTTTGGGACTCTTGTCCTGGGAGCAGCCCCAGACTGGGGCTTTTTGCTCTGGGCTGTGCAGCAGATGAATGTGCCCAAAACCATCAGTTTGGAGCCATCCATAGGGGATTGTAGGGGACAGGAGATGTTTAGTGGCTCCCTGTTTGCCAGCTGGCAGAGCTGGAGGGTTGTCCTGGCAGGGTGAGCAGTATGGGATGGGCGGGGGAAGGTGAGAATAAATGGTCTGTGGTGGCCAGAAAGGAGCAAAGGGCAAACAGGCCAAGCTTCTCCAGCCTATTAGCTCACCTCAGCTCGCTCTGGCCTGGCTGCAGCTGTCCCCAGGTGTATCTGGCACCCTCCAGCCCCTCTGCTAGCTGTGAGCAGCCAGATGCCCTGAGGGTAACAGGACTTTGTGCTTTCTCTGCAGATCATCGAGAAAAGGAAGAAGTTGGAGGCTGATGGGTAAGTACAATGGTCCCTGCTGGGCCCCCCCACCTTCTGTGGTGTGGCAGTGTGGATGTCAGTGCTGAGCTCTGGAGGTGTGGGGGTGGAGCTGCCTGCCCTGCATCCTCACCACTCTCCTGCCCCTCTCTCTCTTCCAGGGTTGAGGTGAAACGTCCCAAGTACTGATTTCTCCTGTGTTTCTTCCTCCCTCTCCTGGAATCCTGGCCCACTGGGAGCTGCCTTCCTGGAGCCTGCTGGTGTGCTGTCCTTGCTCCACACACCGTCCACTCTCTCCTGGGGAGGGCTCGGGGCTCTTCCCTCCCTCTGTTCTTTGCTGTAGAGCCTGTGCTGTGTAAATGTTGTAGCCTTAATAAAACCTCTTTAAATTTGTGTGTGAGCATCTGTTTGTGTGTGCAGAGAGGAGGGGCCTGGGCACATTCTGGCCTCCTTTGGAGCAGCAGGGGTGCTAGGACTCTTCTACTTACCAGGCGCTGTTGGGGCTGACAGGGCAAACCGTTGCTCAGTGTATTTATTGTGGGAGCTTTTTGGGCTGAGGGCAGCATCCCTGTATAAAATTAACAAATTTGAGGGCAGTAATCCCAGCTGAGCATTATGTACCTCAGGGTGGGAGGAAGAAATGGGACCCTGAGCTTGGGTACAGCAAGAGCAATGACCTGAAGCAGAGGCTGTGCAAGCTGCTCTAAGCGCTGGCCAAGGGTACGATGGGGCTAGCGCCAGGCAAGGCTCGTTCCCTCAGGGCAGGGCCAGCAGGGAGCTGGGATGGCCCCTCGGGCAGGGGTGCTGCTGGTGCTCCCTGGCTGGGCTGGGGTCTCTAGGGGGGGCTACAGCCCCCAGACCCTGCAAGGGGCCGAAGTGGCACCTGGTCCTTGGCTGCCCCCCCTCCTGGGATCAGAAAGAGATGACGGTGCGAATTAGGGAGCCTGTGGTGCGAATTAAGGAGTTTGTGGACCTCCCAATGGTGAAGCGCTGAAGAACAGCAACACAGGAGGCGGGCGGGGAGCAGCCTGGTGAAATGGGGCCGGGGGCGCCCGTAGGCTGGAGCCCCGAGGCGGCGGAGCCCCGAGGCGGCGGAGCCCCGAGGCGGTGCCATCCCGCAGCCGGGCCGGCCCCGCAGCGCCGGAGAGGCGCGGGCGGGCGGTGCCATGTAAACAGAGGGGCGGGTATATGTAAATGATGGAAGGCGTGACCATGCAAATGAGCAGGGAGCTATGGCGGCCGCCATGGAGGAGGTGAGCACGCGTGGGGCTGCGGGAGCCCGGAGCCCCCGGGCCCGGTCCCACGGCCCCGCTGTCCCCAGGAGCCCCAGGAGTCGCCGGAGCCGGCGGCGCGGGAGCCGCGGGTGCGGGACACGCCCGAGGACATCTGTCTGGAGGCCACGGCCAACGCCATCGCGCTGCACCCGGCGCGGCCGCTGCTGGCCGCGGGCGACGTGGACGGCGATGTGTACCTGTGAGTACAGGGGACCGGGGCTGGGACACACTGAGCGGGGCTCCCCGGCCGCCCGCGGGTCCCGGCGAGCACTCCCGTGCCGGCAGGTACTCGTATTCCTGCACCGAGGGGGAGAACCGGCAGCTCTGGTCCTCGGGACATCACCTCAAGTCGTGCCGGGACGCGGCGTTCTCCCAGGACGGGCAGAGTGAGTGCGGGGGACGTGGGGTGGCACCGGGGGACGCCGGGCGGGGGGCACTAACGCGGCTCTCCAGAGCTTTTCACTGTGTCCAAGGATAAGTCCATCCACATTCTGACAGCGGAGGAGGGACGGCTGGAAACGCGCTTCCCCAAGGCCCACGAGTAAGTCCATGCAGGCGGCTCATTCTGGGCTCAACGGTGGGGCATTGTCCCCTTGTCCCCTTCCGTCCCGCGGCACGGCCACGCAGCCCTGGGCCGTAGGGAGAGCCCGCAGCGCTGCTCCGGGAGCCGTGACCGTGGGCCGGGGTCTCTGCAGAGCAGCTCTCAACTGCGTGCTGCCCATCGACAACCACATCTTTGCCACGGGTGATGACGGCGGGGCAGTGAAGGTGTGGGACCTGCGCAGGGGCAGCGCCATCCTGGAGGCACGGCAGCAGGAGGAGTACATCAGCGCCATGGCTGTGGATGGCAACGGGAAGATCCTACTGACAGCCTGGTACGGCAGGGGCTTCGTGGGGTCGGGCTCACCGTGTCCATTCGTGGCTGGAGCGCCCTGTGCCATGTCCCGTGCTCACAGCGTGTCCCTTCCACGTCCCACAGTGGCGATGGCACTCTGGGTGTCTATAACGTGAAGAGACGGCGCTTTGAGCTGCTCTCGGAGCCGCAGAACGGCGACCTGACCTCTGTGGTGCTGATGAAGGTTGGCTCCGCTCCACAGCGTGGAGCAGGACCCCACAGCTCCCTGTCCTTGCCCCGTTTTTTGCTCTGCCTCACTGCCCTCCCTCGTGCCTAGAGGGGGAGGAAGGTGGCGTGTGGCTCCAGTGAAGGCACCATCTACCTCTTCAACTGGGACGGCTTCGGGGCCGCCAGCGACCGCTTTGCGCTCAGGGCAGAGACCATTGACTGCATGGTGCCCATCACGGACAGCATCGTGTGCGTGGGGTCCCTGGACGGAGTCATCAGGTCAGGGCTGTGCTGGGGAGGAATGGGGAGCTGTGGGATGGGGTGAGGGGGAATAGAGGGCGATGGGATGGAAGGGTGTGGGATCCGGAGGGATTGTGGGGGGTGAGATGGGAGAGGGAGGGGAGCGTGGTGGGATAGGATGGGGAGAAGAGTGGGCTGGAGATGAGGTGGGGTGGGATGGGGAGGGGGTGACAGGGAATTGTGGAGGATGGGATGGGATGGGATGGGATGGGATGGGATGGGATGTGGAAGGGGAGATGTGGGATGGGCCGGGGTGGAACGAGGAGGGTGTGGGACAGGATCAGCCTTGTCCAGCTCACAGGACAGGAGGGCAGGCGGCGTCCCGGGCGCTGCAGGGCCCTCAGTGCCCCGTGCCGTGCCCAGGGCGGTGAACGTGCTGCCGAACCGCGTGCTGGGCTGCGTGGGGCAGCACCTGGGCGAGCCCATCGAGCAGCTGGCCGTGGCCGCGGACGGGAAGCTCCTGGCCAGCAGCGGCCACGACCAGAAGGTGAAGTTCTGGGACGTGTCGGCGCTCGGCTCCATGGTGGTCGATGATTACCGGCGGAAGAAGAAGAAGGGCGGGCCGCTGCGCGCCCTCAGCAGCAAGGCGCTGGGCAGCGGGGAGGATTTCTTCGCCGACCTGCGGGACGAGGCCGAGCCGGAGGCGGCGGCGGCGGAGGGCGGTGACAGCGGCGACAGCGACAGCGACTGAGCGGGGCCGGGGGCGCCGCCCCCTCCCCGCTCCTGGCGCGGGGGCGGGGCTCTGTGCGTCCTCCTCGTGGGTCGCGGCCAATCAAAACCGCAGCCCCTGGGAGTGCCCGCCTGCGGGGCGTGGCCTCATTGCAATGTTACCACAGTCGGTGGGCAGGACGCTGGCGTTCTGATTGGCTCCTAGGGCTGCCACTCAAGCTGGGCTGTAGGCGCGGTCTTAAAGGGGCAGCGCGTGTCGGAGCGGGCAGGGGTCCCGCAGGGGACAGTGGTAATGGGGGGCAGGAGGCGCCGCGGGAGGACCGGGGGTGGCCCTGGGATGGAGGGACAGGCTGGGGATGGGCGGCTGAGGGTCCTGCCGGAGGGACTGGGAACGGTCCGTGACTGGGGTCCGTGAGGGACGGGGAGGGGCTCTGAGGTGAGGAACAGGGCTGGGGGCTCTGTGGATGAGAGGGGACTCTGATGTATGGGGGGACAGGGCTGGGGGGCTCTGTGGATGAGAGGGGACTCTGATGTATGGGGGGACAGGGCTGGGGGGCTCTGTGGATGAGAGGGGACTCTGATGCATGGGGGGACAGGGCTGGGGGCTCTGTGGATGAGAGGGGACTCTGATGTATGGGGGGACAGGGCTGGAGGCTCTGTGGATGAGAGGGGACTCTGATGCATGGGGGGACAGGGCTGGGGGGCTCTGGTCACTGACCGGGCCACTGGTGGGTCCCGGGTGTGGGCAGTGGAGGGATGGCGGGACATGGCTGAGGGTGCCTGCTGGAGGGGTGATGGGGGAAGGGGCTGTGATTGAACATCCCTGCTGGGTGAGGGGGGTGCTGAGATATGGAGAGACAGGGCTGGGGGCTCTGGTGGGGAATGCAGTGCTGGAAGGGGGATAATGCTGGGGTTTGCTGGTGAATTTGGGGGTCCTTTGGGTTGTTTTGGGATGGGGGGGAGGCAGGGCAGTTCTCAGGAGGGGTGAGGGGGTCACATGGGGTCCTGACAGGTTCATCACTTTCCTGCCCTGCTGTCCTAGCAGGTCAATTACCCTTTGTTAATTAATTAAGACTTTAGCTCTGTTAGAAATAAACTCAGTGCCTTTCACTTCCCAGCGCCTTGTGCTGATGGTTCATCCTCATGAGGCAAGGACTCCTGGGAGTGCAAGAAAGAACCTAAAGAGTGCACCCCAAGACTCTTGGAGGATCCTGGGGATTTCCAAAAGAAGAGGGATGGGACTTGGGTGCTGCCAGAGACTTGGTGGGTCACAGAGGGGGTCCCTACCATGAGCAGGGACAGGGATCCCTCCCAGGCTGGGTCCTTCCCTGGGGAGGTGCAGAGTGGGCAGCAGGGCCTGGAACAGCATCAGACATGGCCTGCACCTGCTGGGGAATGGGGAGGATCTGGTGCAGTTCCAGCATTTCTACTCCTGGCTGTGGCTCACATCCCCCACTGGATTCCCAGCACTGCCTGGGAGCCCTTGGAGCACCAGCTGCAGCCCCAGGCACTGCTGGCCTAGGGCTTCACTCCTGGGGCTGGAGGTGGGCAATCAACAAAACTGAGACACCCAAAGTCTCTGGAGAGCATAAAGGGGTGTCCTGGTTTTTAAGACAGGTGTCTGCTAAGGAAGGCAAGACCCTCCCTTGGAATGGTTATTGCTCCTTAGCAACAAAAACGGGAAAATTCCCTAAGACAGAGAAAAACAAAAGGAAAACCCCCCACAAGGTGCTTCCAGATATCCCAGAGAACCACCAAAAGACATGGGAGGACATCAGGAGGCACTTGGAGGAGCCTGAGGGGTATCAAAAGCTGGTGAGAAAGAGCCCAGTGAGTAGAAGACACCAAACATCAAGGTGTTAGGGAATGCTGCTTCCCACACAATAGACCCACCAGGCTCTGAAGGCTCCAGATCCCACCCTGTCCCTTCCCCTGCCTTTCCTGGTGTGTGGGGAGAGCGCTGAGATGCACTGGACAGGCCGGGAGCTGAGGATGCAGAGGAAAAGATGACATGACCCAGCTGGTGCTCTCCAGAACTCTTTAATCCCAAAAGAACAACACATGTGTGGCCAGACATGCCACTGCTGAGGAATCATTCATGGACAGCTGCCAACTCCACAGCTGCTTCCTCACTATGCAAACAGGTTTCAGGCACTCCTCTCCCCACACAGCAGCTCCACCAGCCAACAGGACAGCTGTGACCCCTTGGACACTCTCTGTGTGGCCTTGTCCTCCCCTGAGGCTGCTCCTCAGGAGCCAGGAATGCCAGTGGAGGAATTCCCTCCATCACATTGGCATCCAGTGCTGGCACAGCCCCTCCAAGAGCTGCTGCTGCTTCTCCAGGATCTGCTCTCCAACACCACACCAACCAGCTTAACAGAACCAAACTGGGCAACAGGAAAACCAACAACCCAAAACTAGAACCAACTGAAGGGCTGCCCGAGGACAGGGTGGCTGCTGTGGAACAGGACAGCAGCCCTTATCCTCCAGAGCCAGCTCTCAAAACTGATGCAAACAACTCCAAGGAAAGCTGGAACAGGGCCGGGAGCCCAGCAGGGCTGGGGCTCAGTCGTGGCTGTGGCAGAGCAGCTGCTACTTCAGCTGGCACCCTGCAGGGGAGAGAGAAGGGTCAGGCTCTGCCCTCAGCCTCAACCCCCCTCCTCTTGCATGCTGTGCTTCCAATCAGAAATCCTCAGCTCAGAGCTGACAGTGTTCAGCCATGCCAGCCAGCCCGGCTCCCTCCCAGAAATGCCACAGCCCCACCCTCCCAGGGGACCCTTTGGGGAAGGCAGGGAGCTGGCTGTGCAAGGACTCACCAAGGACTCAGCCAACACTCGCAGAACGTGCAGGGCTGCCACCACCTTGGCCTTCTCGTGCTCGCTCTGGCCCTGCCTGTCTAGTGAGATCCACGTGAAGCCACTGATGGGCACGTGGGACCCCGGGATGGCCACCTGGTACCAGAACCGCTGCCACCCGTTGGGGTTCATCTGGACACACTTGGTCATGATCAGGGGTGTCCTCAGGTGATGCTTCCAGCACAGCGTGTTCAGGCAGTCCAGCACGTTCTGCAGTGACAGAGGCAGGGGCACTGCTGGGCTCTCACCTCCCTGCACCCAGCTGGATGGTGGCTCCTCCTCACACAGCTGCAGCTTCTGCTTCAGTTGGGGATCCAGCCAGTCCACCCTCATATTTGCTTCCCCGAGCCTCAGGTTCCCTAGGAGACAGGAGATGCTCACCTACCCTCCATCCCATCCCATCCCATCCCATCGCATCCCATCCCATCCCATCGCATCCCATCCCATCCCATCCCATCCCTCTCCAGGATTTTAGGGACAGCATGATTTTAGGGCGAAGGTGAACAGGTATCAAAGCCAAATGCTCCTCAGCTGGGGCAGGAATGGGTACAAACCAAGACTATGGAGGTCCTGGTTGGATGTTTGGGAAGTGTGTCCCCTCAGGGCATTGCAGTCATGGGACAGGGCTCAGAGGGATTGAGCAGCTCCATCAGGAGTGTTTAAGGGACACTGAGGTGTTGGGCAGGTCCACTGGAAAGGTTTAATGACTTGGTTAATGTTCTGGGTGCCCTGAACTGGTGATGCCCCTGCTCTGAGCAGCCCCTTCACCCCACCACCAGTAGTACTGCTGGAAAACAACTGCACCATGGGCAGCTGGCATCCCACAGGACACAGGGAGAGAACAAAGGGTGTCTCAAGGCTGAAGTCACCTTGCAGCCAAGTCTGGAGGCAGGAAGCCCAGCCTAAGAAGCATCCCTCAGTACCACTCACCTTCCATCAGAGCTTTCTTGGCCAGGGCAGCAGCCTCGTGCGAGCTGTACTTCAGCACAGCGAGCGTGGCCTGTGTCTGGGAGGGGCTGGCGTGCAGGGTGACACTACAGATCCCCTCGGTGACCCTCTGCAGCGTGGCCTCCAGCTCCTGCTGGCTCACCCAGGCGCCCAGGCCGCTGACGAGCAGCTCGCGCTTCTGCGTGCTCCAGCAGACGACGATGGCGCGGCCGCGGCGCAGCTGGAAGCGGTGGAAGGCGGCGATGGCGCTGCGCGCGTCCTGCCGCGACGCGTAGCGCGCGTAGGCGAAGCCGCGGTTCAGCCCGCTGAAGGTCATCATCAGGCGGAACTCGTAGAGCCGGCCCACGCTCCCGAACAGCGGGATCAGCGTGTCCTCGTAGATGTCCTGCGGCAGCCTGGCGATGTACACCTCGGTGCCGGCCGGCGGCGGGCCGCCCACCCAGCCTGCGGGGACACAGGGACACGGCTGTGAAAACGGGACCTGACTCCCGGTACTAAAGGTGGTTTCAGCATTTGTTGTAATAAAAATGAAAGGGGGAGCGTTCCCTCGAGGATGCTGCAGCACCAGTGATGTCCTAAAGTTCCAGGTATGTGACAATGTTCACAGGGGTCTGAGGATGAGGGAAGAGATGAGGATCTGACTCCATGTTTCAGAAGGCTTGATTTATTATGATATATATTAGATTAAAACTATACTAAAAGAATAGAAGAAAGGATTACATCAGAAGGCAAGCTAAGAATAGAAGAATGATAACAAAAGCTTGTGTCTCGGACAGAGAGTCCGAGCCAGCTGACTGTGATTGGCCATTAATTAGAAACAACCACATGAGCCCAATCCCAGATGCACCTGTTGCACTCCACAGCAGCAGATAACCATTGGTTACATTTTGTTCCTGAGGCCTCTCAGCTTCTCAGGAGAAAAAATCCCAAGGAAAGGATTTTTCATAAAATGTGTCCATGACACAGGTACAGCAGCACCCTCCTTCCCACTGAGGCCACCCACCTTCCCTGGGTCAGATGCCCCTTTTTATCCTGTTTTTTATCCCTTTGGATTAGTTTCTGTTGGGATCCTTCATTTGCATGAAGGTTTAAGGCACTTGATTGGCCCATTACAGTTCTGTCCAGGCTGGCTGGTGTCACTTGGGGAGAGGTGCACTTTACTTCAGTCTAATTTCATATAACCCTTTTAAGCCCTTTTACCATAACCAACTATGGTACATGTGTGGAGAGCTTTTTGGATAATTGGCTAGCTGAGAAAGGCCACTTCGATGTGATACCGTTGGATAAGGATAGGGGAAACAAGCTGGGAACTAAGCAACCAGTGTCCAATCACTGACAAAGGTCATAGTGACCTTCGCTGAAACGGGAAGATGGGGGAGAAAATCGCCAGAAAATGAACATAGCCTAGGTAGAGAAGCTAGAAGAATGTAAACATAGAAACAAAATAATCATTAGAGCATAGAAGTAGGTGTGGTTGATCTAAGTGTGCTTTAGCCAATAATGAGCTCAGCTTTTGCAATATGTATAAGCTTCATTAACACCAATATAAATATGTGTGAGCTTTCAATAAACTTTGGGATTTGCTATTCACGCATATTGTGTGAGGCATTTCTTCCGCCATTCACGACATACATGCTTAACAATTATCAACTATTTTACAGCAGTTTCTACCCTATTTTTAACAAGGGTGAGTCCCCTCTGGACCCCACTCTGCCATACCTGGGGGGGGTCCCCCGTAGCGCCTCTGCCCGTTTATTTGCACCAGCTCAATTCCTGTCTCCTTCTCCCAGGCGAGCAGGGCCATCTTGCTGGCCTCGTTGATTCCGTTGGTCCATGTCTGAAGGAGGAGATGGTGGTGGTGATTTGTGAGCAGAGAGCTTTCAGCCTCCCACCTGGGAGCATCCCAACCCCACGAGGGAACCACAGGATCCATTGCTGGCCAGCACACGGAGGGGCAAACGAACCCCTGCTCTCAGGGAACCTGAGGAGCCTCCCAATGCTCCCATCCCAAGGACTGTCCAAGCCTGCTCCACCTGACACAAAGTCCAGCAACTCTGTCAGAGCCCAAACAACAGTTTCCTACAGCTCTGCAAGGGCTTGCAAAGCCAAAACACAGGCAGCAGCTGCCTGGTGCTGCAAGAGGGAGCTGGAGACCAGAGTCAAGGTGACCCATACATCATGACAGCTTTAAGGGAAAGACACTGGGTTACATTGAATACAGGGAAGAAAATCATCCCTGTGAAGGTGGGAGGCACAGGCAGAGGTTGCCCAGAGAAGCTGTGGCTGCCCCATCCCTGGAAGTGTTCAAGGCCAGGTTGGATGGGGCTTGAAGAAACCTGGGCTAGTGGAAGTTTGCCTGCCAGCACAGAAGAGATAATATTAAAGAGAAACAAGAACTGACCACTGCACTGGAAAGCAGCTGAATTATTATTACTGTCCTTGAAAATAGAACAGCTGCAGAGACAGTTACAGGAGGACAAAAAGGAAAACAAAAGTTGGAGGAAAAACTTCAGCTAATGCTTATGTAGGCTCCAAGTGCTCCTGACACTGCACAGATTGGAAAATTAACTGCATCTCCTGAAGACTGGCCAAATCCTTGGCCTTGTTACAAAACGAGATGAAATTAGAAAAGACACAGCCTTTAATGAACAATTGTCCAGGAGTGCTACTGAGATTTTAGAACACGAGGAAATCCCCACCTGTGGAATACTAATTGCATGCATTTCTGGTATCACCACGAAATTCACTCCATCCCAAAACTCTGTAAAATGGGTGAGATGTGGGATGGAGTAATTTTCATGGTGATACCAAGAATTCTACATGCAATGTCAGACTAATTGACCATTCCCAAGAACTAGGATCTACAGCTCGTCCATCGAGAAAACAGAGATGGAAAGAATTAGATAATCAAGTGTTATTTTCAAGAATTCCAAAAATTGCAATTGTCCTCCCCCGGGGCAAAGGTGAAAGAAACCCTGACTAAAGTTAGCAAGAAAATGTAAAATCTGTATAATTTCCAACAGGAGCAGTACACCCCACGATCCTGTCACAGCAGGATGGAGTTTTTACCAGCATGGCACCTAAATGTAACTTGCTTCAAACTGGCCCTGACCAAGGGTACTTTTGATAGTATAGGGATAAAATGTTTCTAAAATCCTCGAATATTCAAGGAAGTTAGAAAGGAAGGATAGGCCTGGTAGGCCCTGGGAAAATGTCAGGCTGCACCTGTATAAGCATTTAATGACTATGATAAATTATATGATTGTTAGGTAATTGGATATAATTATTGTTTAATCATAACAAGAATCATGAGAAATGATGTTTGGGGGGTTTGATGGAAATTACAAAATCCATGCTTGGATGAAATCAATGTATACAATAGAACAATATACGTTTAATAATTCATATGTAGTTATATGACAATAAAGGTATAAAAACGTGTTCATCCCGAACCCATGTCAGAGTCAGATTTGGATCTGTGCCCCTGACAGCCAGAGCTCTTCAATAAAAGCACCTGCATAGAATCATTCTGTGATTATGTGTTCCTGAATATCTTCACTGCTTAGCTGGACTGCACGGGGACTTCCAGGAGACAGAACAGAGATCTTCTGAATGGGAAAAGGGGCTTTTATCTCTAGTCTGAGCAGTGAAACAAGCTCACACTTTCCATGTAAGTGGGTACAATGGGCCGAAAAGGCAGAATTCAATGGGTTAGCCCATCTTACCCCAGTCAAATGGAGGCACAGAATGGGCTGATGGCCCATTGAAAAACAGCCCGAAGCCACACCAGGCTGAGGGACATACTCAGGGTAAATAATCGCTGTGGTCTTGGTGTGCATTTTATGCAAACCCTGAATGAGGTGCTCCAGCTTCCATTCAAGGGGATCGTCTGACAGCTTTACAATCAGGACAAAGTGTCACGGTAAAAGTAGCACAGAACAATGCCTGAGACTAACTAAGCCTCGGGGCACACTCACTTGGGAATCTATGGATAGCAGTGTCTCCAAAAAGTGCAAAACAGCATTAGTGCACCGCGGGGCTTTTCCCTGTTTTTAACGGGATAATAACCTATCCGGGAAAACCCCGACGAGACTTGTATTCTTTCACTTTTTCAGACAATAAGACTGGAAATTATGCCAGCATGTCTCCACTGAAAGTCAAGTTTTCCACTGAAGGAGTTCTTATTCTCCTCACAGAAGGAATCAGCACCAGAATGAACCAGACTGAGCACATAAATCGCCCAACCTGACCCACCGGATGGAAAACTTCACTTTCTGCATCTGTAATGGTCACTGTGCTAATGGCTGTAATCATGCTTAAGCCTGAATGCATTTCGATGACTATTGCTAATGAATAATTAGCAGTGCTAATTATTCTCCTAAATGTGTACTATTAGCATTGTTAATTGTACGAATTTAGGAGCTCAGCCTGTTAACACGAATTTGGCAGAGGAAAATATAACCATGATATGTGAAGCACAAGTTTCAACCAAAAGGGGGGAAATTTATTTACTCGGCTTCCAATACTGACACAAAATATGAAAGGGAAGTTTTGGTGGAGATATAATGTATCCACAGCTGTTAAGTGGGTAATGCATACTGGCACAACAAAAACGAATTTAAACCTCATAATGCATTCCACCACCTCCCAGGCTCCGGGGAAATCTTATCTCCACAAATTTCTAAAATCGGTCGCTATGCCGTCAAATACACCAGCCAAAACAAGTGCTATTTAGTCCTTCACGGTCCTCAGAGCAGTAGAATTACCAGTGCAGGGTAATCTCTCTGCAATTAAACCCATGTCTGTCTGTCCCTGTGCACGGGGTCGGCAGGGGGGGAATGGCCGGATCCCGATCCTCCAAACCCATCGGGGTAGGAGCTGTCCTGGGGACAGAGCACTAAGTACCATGGATGTCCTAGCAAACAAAATAAACTCAGTAACAAGTGATTTATACTAATTGAAACATCCGTTTCGACCTTCTTTATCAGCATTAGGAACTGGTCAATGGCCCTTATCGGACACCTCTACGGGAAAGGATGGAGATAAAAGATCACCAGCAAGTAGTGATAAATAGCGATAAAAAGCGATAAAAGATCACCACCTAACGTGAATGCCACGAGGTGATGGCAGCTCTCCACCTCCAAGGGATTTCATTTTTTATGAAGACTAGAAACCAACTTCGGACGAGGGTGGGAATCCTCACTGGGGGAACACGTGCTCAGAGCGGGATAAAACCCAGCCGCATTCCCTCCTCGGAGCCTCGTGGCCCGGCCCCGCTGTGGATCCCAGCTCAGGGAAGCGGCCCGAGGGCGCCCGGGCTGTGTGGAGAGGCAGGACCGGCTCTGCTCGCACCCCCCGGTGCTAACGGGGCCGACCCCGGGCGCGGCGGCTCCGCGCGGGGCTGAGGCCGGGGTCGGGACCGGCCCTGCCTGCGCTCCCAGCCGGGGCCCGGGGGCTCAGATCCCCGCGGGACCAGGACCAGCTCCCAGCCGGGGCCCGGGGGCTCAGATCCCCGCCGAGCTGAGCCGTGCCCTCAGGGGCGCTCCCCGCAGCCCCGACAGCGCTCACCTTCTCGTCCATCCAGCCGCTCCTGCCCGCGCCTTTCCCGCCGTTCTGGCCGCTCCTGCGGTCGGGCCGGGGGAGGAAGGGAGGCAGCACCGCCCCCCGCACCGCGCAGCCCCTCCCCGGATGGACCCCCGGCAGCACCCGCGGGGGTCTGGCCTTGCTCTGCCTTGCCCTGCTCTGCCTCTCTGTCCTACACTTGTCCACCTGTACGCAAGGAGTTGCTGTAAGAGGTACGGCAGCACCACCAAACTCTCATAACAGAAGAGTCAAGGTTGGAAGAGGCATTCAAGACCACCTAGTCCAATCATCAGTGTAATTAGAGCTCAGATAACAACGTCCGGGTTTGAACCCATTCGTACTTGCAGAGCTGGAAGGCTTCGTGCTGCTTGTTCCAATGCCTCCTAACAAAGGCAAATTTTGGGGGGATCAGAAACATCTACTGAAAGAAATCCTTCAGACAGTGTCTGATGCCAAGGAGAGAGTTCATTGGCCCAAATCTCCACTGCGTTATGAAGGGCACCTGTGTCAGATTCTGAGCGGTTCTTAGTTCTTGGTTCTGTTGTGGAGGCACCCCGTGCTCTGCTGTGCCGGCCCGGGGTGAGGACCAGACTTTCTGGGGCCGTGGTGGTGAAACCTGACCTGCATGAGCCAGAGGAGGTGCACACCCACCCCCGGAGGCTCTGGGCTTTGAGCCAGGTTAGGGAGAAGGCCAGACAGACCGTGGCGTTTGTTTTCGTGCCAATGTCCTCCCCAGCCCGCAAGGAAGGGTGAGGAACATTCACCCCTTGGGGCTGAAGGCTTTTATCCTTTCCGAGGGGCATAACTGCCTTAACTTTGCTGAAGTGAGAGGCAGGCTCATGCCTTAAAAGGGGTTATAAACCACCAAAGACTCTTCAGACAGTGTAAAATTCCCCTCCCCAGGGGAGGTACCCGTATGTTCCGTCTAAACCTAAATGTGCATTTACCCACTGACCCCGGTGTTCCTTGGCTTTCCCCCACCCGGATGGATCAAGATTGTGAGCATCACTCAGACCACCAGACACCAAAATTGCAACAATCAAGTCTCTTCAATCAAGTCTAGTTATTGGATCCACAGGTGATGAGATCTTTCCTCTCTTATCCTTCCCTCCACTTTCTTTCTTACACATTTTCTTATCTGCTATTCCTGTGCTTTTATATAGTTGCATTACTATAGATAACAACCTCAGTGGCCACATCTCTGCTTTCCACTGCTTCTAAACAGATCTAAGATAGACCCTACATATTTTTATCTACAAACACCACTCATTCAGTGTCATTTCACCTCTAATGCTCCCCTGTGGGTCCATTAACCAGAACTCTGCTTACTCCTGCTGTGGCAGCTCAGCATTTCTGGCACAGGGATGCAGCCCCACTGTTCCAGACCCCAAAGAACAATTCCAACCCTCCAGAGCATTGCCACTTGCCAGGTTATACTCACTTATTCCATAAGGCCCCAAAGCAGCACCATAGGATCTTGCAGGTCCAGATAATGACCAGTGTCTCACAAAACTGTGGAAAAAGGAAAAAAAAATTACTTATAAGTAATTACTTATTAAAAAATACTTATAATATTACTTACTTATAAACCTTGAAATACAGACATGCACAAAAAATCATATAAAAAACCTATAAATTGAATACAAAATTGTAATGATTTTTAAAAAGTTTAAAAGTTTTTGGGTTTCCTCCTTAAGAAGGAAGAAGTGGCTTGTCCAGCCAGTCTGCCTGGAGATGTCCTTTATATTTCTAAAGATAAATTGCTTGGCTATACCACTGTCTTGATAAAAATCCAAGAGCAAGTAGAAAGGGAAGTTAATGAATCATATCCACAAGAAAAAAAATTCCTAGTGATCCAGGTTCATAAAGTGATTAAACACAGTGGGCTGCTGAAATAGGCTCTGCTCACCCACGTACCTGCAAATGGAAACTCACTTTAGCAACGTGGCTATTTGTGCAGTGCTGCTATAAAATGTAACTAGGCTTCTTAGTATTTGGAGTAGAAAAATGACTGATTTTTTCAAAGAATTAGGAACTCATTCCCACCTCTAGCTAATGTCAGCTCGCTTTTCCGGGATGCATCTCAGCAAGCCAAGGTGTTGCCACTAGATGGCAAAATGAGACTGAATCTTCTCTCCTACACAATCTCAAATTTTATTCGTTGGATGGAGATGAAAGAGAAAAACATTAATATATTTTTATCCATTTGAACCCTCTGCCATTTGTCTGGAAAACAGTGGTTGCAGGTATTCAATACGTGGATGGGAAGGTGTATTCTCTGATCAGGGTGAGATCCTACTCTGCTGCCACTTTAATCCACATCTCAGAGAAGAGAACTGACAGATCAGGACTGCTCCAATGCACAAGGACTTCTGGCCTGTGCTGGCCCTCCTTCATCATGAGCCAGGGGATAAAAATAATTGGCTTACATCCACTTATAGTACAATACATGTGTACAGTTTAAAATATATGCAAAATGCTTCTTTATAAGAAAAAAAAAGCCTCTTATTCATGTTATTTTGAACATAACAATGAAAAGTTGAACAGCATGGGATGTTCAACAGTTCAGCTCCTTGGAAACTCTAAGCCAGTCATAGAGAGGAACATAAAGATTGAAAACAAAACTAACATTAAAACCAAAACTATACCCAAGATGATGTTGGCTAGCAGCAGCTTTTTTTCTCAGAGTCACCTGTGTATTTTCTGGTCTGTGAAATTTACTCTTGAAAACTTTCAGGACTGACAAAATCTTTTCCTGAGAAGGTCTGAAATGAGTATATGTTAGTGGAAAAGCTGTAGCAACTTTTTTTATTTTTTGCAGCATTGCAAAATCACAAGTGCTTTGCTTACGGGTCAGCAAGCTATTGAAATATTTAGAGAATTGGAAATCTGTTGGATCAGAATCCAGTCCTGAGTTTGTGTATGGACAGGAACATTGCAACTGCAACAATGACCAAAATCCCACGTTGGCAACCAGTTTACAGTATAAACTCTGCAAGTTTCTATAGAATGAAGCTACAAAGTAGCTTTGCTTAGGTTAGAAAACAACTGCTTGACTGAATAAAAGGAGATCACTTAGAAACAGTGTCAGAGCTGCTTATGGGTGTCAATAGTTCATTTGATTAAAATAGCAAAACGGGTTGAGTTAAAATAATCATCATATCTTTAGCTGTCTCAGAGAATCTGACACAGCTGGACTGGGATTGGGCATTAATTAAAAACAATTCACATGCTGGGTGAACAATTTTCCAGATCACATTCCAGAGGAGCAAAACATGGAGAAGCTGAGGCTTCTGTTCTTCCCAGGAGAAGAAATCCTGGTGAAGGGATTTTTCATAAAATATCATGGTAACAATAGGGTGTGTTTTTAACATGCTTCATCTTTACCTTAGGCTCCAATGTCTCCATCAAACTGGTGAGCTCAGTGTGCTCATGGCAGAGCCCTGGACCTGAAGGCACTGTTAGCTCAGGAGGGTCATGTCCAAACCAGAACATTTCCAGGTGTCCTTTTGGCCCCCTCTGTGTCACAGGACAGCTGACCCTGTGAACTGAGCCTCACTGAGCAGCCCAAGTACTGGAGGAGAGTTCTTCAGTCCCCAATTCCTCCTTCTGAATCTTGCAGCAGCTTTTCTGGCTAGCAGAGCCCTTCCCAGCTCATGAGAACAGCTGACTGCTAGCTGTCACAAAGTTTATCTCCTTTTTTTTCCTTCCCTCATCTCCAACTTCCCTTTCTCAAGCTTAGCAAGCATTTTTTTCAGTCTTTCCTGAGCAGACAGTTCTGTTGAGGTCTCCTAAGTGTTCTCTGCATTTGTTCACCACATTTCTGGACAAACCAGACACATTATGTCACTTATGACCCAACAGAGTGGAGTAAAACATGTTCCTGAGCAAACTGCTCTTGCTAGAATATATCTAAGCATTTGCCTAATTTTTTACAGGACTTTAGTAGATATTTGATACTCTTTGGTTTCTGAATAGAGTCCAGCTGCACACCACAGTGGTTGTATTTTAGGATTTCAGGCCTTTTGGAATTGCCTAAACTCCATCTTGACACCTGCTCAGAGGAACACAATTCACTGGCAAGGGAAAAGATGCTTCTTCAAGTATACATATTTTTACATATTTTTTTTCCTCCAGGAAAATCTTTGCTGAGGATTGAGTTCCTATAGAGAACACTTTTTTTTTTTTTTTTTGTTTGCTTTATATGAACTTGGATTTGAAGCCAGTGTCTCAGACAGAGTTTTATTCAAGCCATACCTTGCAGAGGCAGGTAGGTTGGTTAGCATTTACCTCAGCTGCTGTTCCCATTAAAGTCTCATATTCAGGGTCCATCTCTTGCCCTGGCAGTCACCAGGCTGGGGAGGAAGCCTCAAAGTTCCATTCCTACAAATTGCTTTTTCAAATTGGCCTCAGTGTGAATGTGAATATCCTGATACTTTCCCCAGGGGGAGTTTAGCTCACACCTGAGCCAGGTGTGTAAGGGAGGACACTGAGGTGGTAAAAAGCATTATCCCACCTCACAGGGTCTGCTTCTCTTATCTCCCTTATCTGCTCTGAACCCAGAGCTAAGCAAAGGGCAGTTTGCTGTGCTCATCCTGTCGAGGTGGGTGATGAAAATATCTGAAATTTCAGAAAATATCTGAACCCCCTCAGCCCCAGGGCTGTTCTTATGATCAGAGGTTTGTCCACCACACATCCAAAACCTCTCCTTCCCTTTGGTCTGGCCTCAGCAAAGCACCAAATGAATGCTGACATTGCAGGCTCTCACAGTTACAGGTCGGTCATTCAGCCTGGAATTGGGCATGTCATGTTAAAAGGGCAGCTCTAGGCTGTCTAGGGTAAATATTTCCAGGGTAAAAGGAAGAATCTACCCCAGTCTCATAAAAACAAATTTTTATGAGCCCCCAGTCTCATAAAAACAAATTTTTATGAGACCCCAGTCTCATAAAAACAAATTTGGGCAGGACAAAAGAAAACCACTTCATAAAGATCCACTTTGCTTTGGGAGTGAGATGAACATGAAGACAAAATTCTTCCAAGGTTTGAAATTTTTTTTTGTTTGGCTCTAAAAGCATATGGACACCTAACCCGAGTTACTCTAGAAAAATAAACCCTTCTGAAAGTGGTTCAAAGCCCTTGACTCCACTTAAAACAGGGACAGACAACCACCAGAGAGAGGTGAGAGAAAATGGAAAATGTTGCTGCTCTTTGAAGGCAGCAGAATGTTGGCAGTGTGAATTTCCCCCCTCTGTTGCGTAAGATGGTTTGAGTCTCACATTTTCAAACATCAATCACCACACCATCACTGCATCAGAAAGAACTTACCATTGGCAGCTGTTACTGAGGAGACACTTTTTTGTGTCAAGGTTGTGTCACTGCAGGCTATAAAATACCTGTGAAACACCTTGTTCTTTAAAAAGAGGGAAAAAAGTCTCAATAAAAAAGATATGCACCTGATAATAGCTGTAAAGTCAGTGTTCCTTAGCTTTTAAAAATCTAAGAGCTTAATCCATCTCATGAGATTGCCAACTGCTGTAGTACATCTGAAAATTCAAATATAGAAAATACAAAGTGGTGTTTCCTCAGCAAGCCTTACTGGGGCACCACATCTGGTGTGCTTATGATGTTACAAAAGAAGTTTTAAAGAAAGACAGAGCTCAAGTTCGTGTGCAGCTGGGTTTTGCAAGAAATGCATGAAATCTGCACATAGCTGTGATGTACTCAGTGCCACTGACAGGATGCAAGCAAATAATTATAGATGCATGTGTTAGAATTTCTGTGTTAGCTGCTCTGAGCCTGGGAGATCCATTTCAGAGGTAACTGAATTCCTTCTTTCTCAGCATCAGAATAAATGATGCTGACATTCTCCTATTACACCACCAGCATAAATTTTGACCAGACTAATTAGTTTCACATTAGTACAAATAAGGAGGAACACAATTGCAATTAGATCTGCTACACTGGCTTTGGGATAGAAACCAGATTAGAAGGTAATGAAACATATCTTAGAATAAACAATTAGAAATGTAACACAGGCTTCTTCCTGTCTCCCTGCTTGTTTCCCTGTGAAATCAGGGGCTGTGATGGGATGTCTGAGGTGGAGATCTGTAACCTCCCCTTTACCACTGGTCACAATGCACCAGCAAAGCAACTTTTCCTTTCTTTGGCACCAGTTCATTCAGTCCTATTTCATCCCCAGACCTATTTCTGTGATATTGTCAGGACATGCCTCAGATGATTCCCACAGGTAATTTCAAGTAAGAACCCAGAAAACACAGTTGTAGCATGTATTTGATATTCTGCTTAGAACACCTCTGACAGCAGTTTAATTTCAGGGAGTTTTAAATACCATGCTGCCATCATTTACCAGAATTTCTCCAAAAAAAACAAAGCTACTCTAAATCAGACTCTGAATTTCAAAAGGAAAGCTCTTACTGTGCAAACTTGTAGGTTTGATCTCAAATACATGCACTGGTGTGCAACACCTGCAGATTGCAGACACGAGGTTAGGAGGCCCTCAGTGGCTGGGGACAAGAGGGATGCATTTCATTTCTCCATAAAAAGAAGAGGAAATTTCCTTCCCAGCGCTTCAGAACCGTGCCCCTATTCTTACCAGCCCAGGAAGCTCAGGAATTGCCAACTTTAGTGCAGTCTAATGGAGGAGTGAGCCCAAGGATTCACAGCAGCACAGCTTTGGAAGAGGCTCCACAACAAGAAAAGGGAGAATGGACAAAAAAAGTGTGTCTGTTAAAAAACAATGTAATCTCAGCAAAGGCACCTGCTGATAGGAGGGTGCCTGAATTGGCTGTGCAGGACACATGAAAGTCTGTCATGTTCCTGTGGTAATAATATGGTTTTGTGGATTCATTTTCAGATACAAAAAGCCTCACAAGAAGTAGCCAAAGAATGAACTATTGATACAATGGCAAGATAATAATTTTTCATCTAAACTTATACGGTTTTTGTAGTTTCATGGAGTGATTTTTTTATTTGAAGGCATGCTGACTGTAATTCCATCGTTAGTTCATTAGTTCCTCATTATGTACAGCTCTGACAATAACCTTTAATTGTGCAAAGAAGGATATTTCAGGTACTGAGGTAAATTAAAGGAGTTTCTCTTAAGTGAACATTTTCTTCTTTGTGGGGGGGCTTACCAGAAGAGTAACCCACACCTATGCAGATAACATGACAATATTTTAATGCATGTATAATATAATTAAATACATAAATATCTATGCATGCAATTAAAAGCAATTAGGGTCCCAAGGCGTTTACTTCTATGTAGCAGGCAGAGCATTTTCAAGCCTCTGCTGTGCTTCCTTGTTTACTTATTTATACTCAGAGAAAGGAAGTGGTGAGGCTGACTAGCTGAAACCTCTCAGAGAAGAGACCATTTTGTACCAGAGGAAGCTGTGTCTCTCTGGAACCAACTCCCAGCATAATTTCAATTGACCAGAACAGTTCCTTGACAGAACCAGCTGGAGGTTGGGCAAAGAATTCCTTGGAGTGGCCACAGAGAGGGAATCCATGGCTGTGGCATTGGCAGCAGGGCTGTGAACGCTCCTGAGTGCTCTGGGGAGAAAACCAAGCATGGACCTGCGGAACCTCCCCTACCGCTCCGACGTGCTCACCTGGGACCCAGATGACTTAGCAGAATATTTCAGGACGGTGAGTTTGGCTCTGTTTTGTCTTCATCTGATGGAGGAGCAAACTGCTGGAACATTGGTTGGGCTAAATTCAGGTGTTCTATAATAGGCAAAGCTCGCTACAGAACTAAAAGCAAAACCGCTGTCAAAGGAGGAGCTGAGCTCAAGTGGTCAGCGAAAATGAGAAAATGAATCTTGGAAGGGGTTTTTAAATTGGCTATAAGGGAAACTCGTGGTTTAGTTAGAGAAAATAAACAGGTTGCTACAATGCTTGTTGGTGTAACACACTTGAACAGCTGTGGAAGGCACTAAGGTGTGAAGATTACCAGTTTTCTGTTTCATCTTCAATGATTTTCAGAAGTGATATTTTTTCCCAAATTGCTGGGTGTAACAAATGAGCCTCTGAATGCCTTTGTTAATCACATCCATGGCTAGATTTGTAAAACTTGGCACACCTTGGCCTTAATTTTGAAATAATGTGAAGTTTATTTTTTTTCCTATAACTCTGTGAGAGTCTAATCTGGGTACTTGAAGCAAGTTTGATAGTAGAATGCAGAACTACTTAATAAAGATGAGCAGATCAAACATAGAATTTGGGTCTAGCAAATCTCCAGAGAAGTGAAACTGCCAACTACTTACAAGCCCCTAATTTTAGGGTGCGGGAGTTAGTGGCACAGGAAAGTGAAACCAAAAACTGGAGATGGAACAGATGAGATCATTATCAACAGGTAACTTCACACAAGTACGAAAAACATTACAACAGTGGTGCAGAGGGAAGTTGGACCATCATTTCCAAGAAATTAGGAAGGAAAAAACAGCTTTCTGAAAGATCTGATAATAATATTCTGAACAGTGATAAAACTGTAAGTTCTACCGTAACTGAATGCACATTTATCTGTAGTGCCTCCCTTCTAGTGATCAAGACACTCTCCAGAATGGAGATAATGGCATTCCACTCCTGGGGAGCTAAATCAGGGCAAAAGTTGTTTAAGTAATCTAAAAAATCTGGGTAAGATAAGAATGTCAGCCCAAGTCAGCCAGCTCTGGGCACCTGTAACAAGTGACCAGATCTTATCCCTGAGATGAACTCAGAGAATATTATATACTCAGAGATATATACAAACTCAGAGATATTATCTCTGAGATAAACTCAGAGAATGAATGAACCAAATTTTCAAATAATTTCTGATTTTTTTTTTTTGTTTAGAAAAAGCAAAGATGTTCATATTTGGGATAGCCCAAGGTTTATTTTTAATAGCTAAACTGCATTTTTTTATCAATTATTTCAAGACTGAGATGAGTTGTCGATCACAGTGCTGTGTTGCTTCCCTCTGCATACAGACTTGTGCTGGTAAAATCACAATAGCATTCACTGTAGGAAAGAAATTATTTACAGGTTCAAGTCCTCAGCCTGCACAAAAGTTTTAATCTGTATCCTGAAATATTTACCAGAGTTAGGTCTGTTTCTTCATGTGAATAACTGAAGGAGGCTCCTAAAATTATCCTCTCTGCTGTCGGGTTGTTTCCAGGGTCCGTACAGCAAGTTACAATGTTACACCTTAAAATGAAAAATGGGATAGGACTACAAAGGACATCAAACTCTGTAATTTCTCTGCTTTTGGGGAGCTATCCCAGCAGCACAGGGTCATGTGTCTGCAGAACTTCCACTGACAGAAGTTTCAGACAGAATAAAAGTCATTCTTTTGTCTTGAAGCCTCCAAAGGTCACTTTGTCTGCCTGCGCTTTGGGCTCCTTCTGATATGGACCTGACCAACTTGAAACAGATCAAAAATATAATTGTGTTCTTACATTATGCTATTATTGTTTTAATTAAAAAAATACCCCCAAACCAAAACAAAAACAACAAAAAAACCCCAAATAAAAAACTCCAAAAAACAACAACAACAACAGAAAACAACAACCAAAATACCCCCTCGAAAAACCCCCCAAAACCAAACTTAGGACAAATGTTGGAAATGTTTAAAAGTCATGTTCTTGCTTTGTGGTCAACCTGTACATGAGCAGCTTCTGAATAGCTCATGTCCTTGTCCTAAAGGCTACTGGAAATCATAATACTGTGGGAAAGCTTTACAAATATTGTAGACAATTTCCAGGATTAACAAGTGAGATTTCCACACAGAAGTGAAAGCTTTTTCATCACAACAATGAATTCTGTGACTGGGATCAGTCAGCTTTATTATTCCTGGATAACAGGGTTTGTGCTCTACTTCTGCAGCTGCTCATCCCAGTCAGTACCACAATAATCCATTTTTTCAGGTATTTCTTTGGGCCAGGCAAATGAGGTGGTTTGTAAATGTGAGGAACAATGTGTCCCTAAATGGATGAAAACCTTTAAGTTCACTGAAGGATGTCTGTCATAAAAATCCATGTTTTTGAGACAAAATGAACCATTTAGGCAGGCCATAGCATACAAAAAAGTATCTTGGAACCATCTACTCAAAGCCAGACATATGTTTAAGTGTCTTAATTGATTCTTATAGTTAAGGGTGCAATAATCATCTTCTCATCAGCAGCTAAAGTACAAGGACTGTGAGAAAGTCGTGAGGAAGCACAGCATAAATGGACAAAGGTTTTTGGTAAGTGGAGCTGTAAAATTCCTTCCTGCAAAATTCCAGCCAAGTGATGTTTCTGACTCCTCCTTATTTTGCACTGGCAGATGGAGAGGCACCTCCCAGGTGGTTACTGAGGTATCAATATGGGAGGTAAATGCTTTTGCTAAAATCAGCCAGACAGCTTGCTTTCAATATGGAATGCTGGGAGCCCAAGCATCTTGTTCAATATGAATATTTTTTAGTATTTTTTAAACTGACTGGGAAGTGCTAAACCAATAATCTTGTCTTGAATTCTTGAATGCAGAAACTTCTTGTTTTCAAATATTAACTACAGAAATCCCACATTTATTTATTATCCTCTCATACTAAAGACACAGCCCTGCTCAGAATGACTGGCCTTTCATTGGAATAACTGCTTCATTCCTCTATAGATAAAATTAGATTTCTTTTGTAGCAATACACAAAAGCAATAACATTTAAGAACATCAAAACTAGTAAGTGAAATCCCAGTGGGTTTAAATCAACATTGTTCCAGACTTGGCTTAATTTTAGAAAAAAAAGCTGATAACTTCCACTGACACAACAGCTGTTTCCAGGTCTTAAATACACATCCATGAAGATGTGTAGGAGCTTTTAGCATTACTGCTTTTTACTTTAATTTTCAAATATTAGCCATTTTATTTCCCCAGAAGTAGTAATTTTGTTCTATTTAATTAGTCATAGTGGGGAGATCTCTGCATACCTCTTCTAAAGTTTTGTATTTTTCATTTACTTGTTGTAATATTCAGTTTTTTGACATTTCATTGAAACAAAACATACAGTTTTCCAAGGCCCTGTTGTAGGAATAGGATTTGACCCCTCCCTGCTTCTGGAGGGTGCAGTCAGCATTATTCAGATGGGATTTATCCTTCCAGCCCCAGGAGATCTCCTCAGAGATCCTCAAGCACTGAGGGTCTGTGGCTGGAGTGGGGCTTCTGCCTCTGGAAGCACAATGGCATTTTGTGAGGTGCAAATAGAAAGTGCAATAACTGTATGATTTCTAAGGGATTTTGGTGATTTTCTATTGTTTCCAGAGTGTTTCTGAAATTAGCTCAGGGTGCAGGAGCTCTTCAGAGGCATCCCAGCAGATTTTCAGGATGTTTTCTACTGAGCAAGCCAAGCAGCTGCTCACCTCTGCTCAGACTCTTTAAAAGCTTTTGAATTACTTGGCCATTGTATGATGGAAAAAAAGGAAAAGGTTCACTTGTTAAACAGAGAAAGATGTCCAGTAAAATATTCCAGAGTACAAAGCAATTTGGAAAGAAAAATTGCTTCTCTCTATGAATGATCTCCCTAAGAAACAACTTTTTGCATTTTGGGAGTAGCTGGAAATGGCCAAATTACATTTGCACAGAAGCAGCTGCTCAGGCTGAGTGTCTGCTGGGTTTGTTGCTGTTGTCAGATCTACATGATAAACCTGGTGTAAAAATGCTCTAAATTTAATCAGAATAACATCCTAATTTCAGAATCACCTTTCTGGCTACCACAAGGAAAGCCCTATGGAGATGCAGTGGGAATAAAACCAAAGGGGTTCCATGTAACTTATTCTAATAAAATTCTCTATTATTTAAAACAGAAATGTGGTGCTTGTAAAAGAGGTTATACCTCTAATATTTGTCAGGTTTATCACCAAAATAGAACTCCAGAGAGAAGCTTAAAAAGCCTTAAGAAAAAATATGATTCTTCAGGAACTACTGCAGTACATTTCCATAAAAGCAGCACATTAACCTGTGTTTCATTCCTCCCAGAGGCAAAATAGTGTGGAAAAACACAGATAGGATTTGTTCTGTCCTTTGACACTGACAGCCTTGTGAACCAATGTCTAATTAGAAACCTATTACTGTTACCAGTAAAAAAGACAAAAAGAACCAGACTATCATCCCTGTTCCAAAGAGAATTCATGAAGCTTGTGATTAACTAAACAAACCACTAAATCAACAAAATCCAAACTCTCCATAATGCCTGAATCTGTCCCAAGTGTGGACTTGCACATGCTGGAGGGAGAGAAGGGATGACTTCAGGAGCATCAGGGAAGGTTTCCAGACAAACAAAGGTTTCCAGAGAGCACACCTCAGTCAGGGGAACCTCAGCCCAGGGGCTGTGTTATGGCTGAGGAGGAGCAAACATCCTCTCCCATCCCTTCTGGAAGGATTTCTTAGGCTGCTAAGGCTGCTCTTAAGTCCAAGGAGTTTTCTAGCTCTGTGTCCCCTAGAACATGGGATTCTTCATGTACTCTGTTACAGATAAGGTTCTTAGAACAGCACTCCAGCCAAAGGTTCTGTGTTTTAAAATCTGCACTTCTCCCCTGAAATTTTGCAGTTGTGCACAATCTTGCCTAATTTCACTGTGCAGACAGGAAGGAATTCAATATACCTGGCTTCTGAAGTCACATAAATACCACATGAATTCATGCCACATTTTGAATATATGTGTATGACTGACTTGGACCAGTCACTGGGTGTTCCATGGACAATTTTGTCTCATATCCCACGTGTTTCCTTTCCAGAACATGTCTGAAAATGATATTCAGAAATTCCCAAAGCTCAGAGTGCCGTAAGTAAAGTCAAACTATTTTATTGTTAAAAATTATTTTAGCTGTTTTGCACTGAACTCTCATAGGAAATATCAGGCAAATGATTTGTGAGTGATTGGTTAGAGACTTGTTTATTGGAGTGCACTGAGAGAAGAAGAAGAATATTCCAAAATAAAATGAGTGTTGTCATGACTGCTCAAGCAAAATGATACAAGGAAATAGTCTGGGGGATGTTCAAAAGAACTTGTGCATAAATCCTTTGACTGACAGCAGCTCCACAAAGGTCAAACTTTCATGCAAGTATTACCTTTGAAGTATGACTTAACTGTTCACTGCTTAACTGTTGACTTTAACTTAAAGGGGAAAAAAAGTCAGTTATGTCCACAACAGCTGAGGATTTGAAATTATTTTCATGTGCTTTAGGTGGGTGTTCAAGAGAAATCAGTCTGGACCATGTGATTCAATGTTCAGTAGCTTTCTCAGCCTCTGTGGATTTAGGCCTTGAAAAAGTTTCCAATTCATCTGAACAGCTTCCATCATTTCATAGAAGTTACTTAATGAAGAAAAATAATCCAATTAAGTCAATACTGAGTAGGAGAAATTTGCTTCTTCTAATATTTCACGGTGAAAAATGAAGGATTTTATTTTGCTATGAGTTCTCTGCTACCTATTTAAGCTGGAGGTTAGAAGGTTTCTAACCATGAGACACATGGAGTTCTTCAAACAAAGGAGGGAGAAAAAAAAGGAATTCAAAGACACAGCTGTGTCATTGTTGCTCATTTCCCAGTTCCAGACTCCCTTCCTTCATGGATATCTTGATTTTGCTACTCAAGATACAAATTGATACTCAAGATACAAATTTTCACTTGCATCAGAGCTTGTGGAAGGTGTTTTGGGGAAGACAAGAATATTGAAAAATTTTGTGTTCGTGGGTGAGCTGCTGGGAAGAGCTGAACCCAGCAGGACACCCCTGTTCAGATCAGATATGAAGGACTGAATTTGAAATTTCCTTGGATGTGACATATTTCTTAAAATCACATCTCTATTTTCACACAAGAAATATCCTGATAATAGGGGTTGGTGGTGTACAATATGTTAGTAAGGAGATCCAAATATTATTTCAAGAAGATGCTCTGATGCCTCAGAATTTCTGAACTCACTTTTAATGAAAAGAAACATTTAACAGTGTTGATGATAGATCAGACTGCCTGTGACAGACTCATCTAACCATAGTGTAGAACTTGTAATTCTCTGATCATTTGTCCTACCTTGGCAGTCCTTTGGCAGAATTATCTCTCGTTCTCATTGTCTGAGCTTTTAAAATTGAGAATTTCTGGTGGTTTCCTTTCAAATTTGTGAGAGAAAAGTAGTCAGTGGATGGTCTAATAAACTCAGACATACCAGAGATTCATTTTAATGATTCATGCCATAGGTGAATCATTAAAATGAAATTTAACCATGTGGATTTGCTCCTATCTCCTCATCAAACCTATTGGTACCTCAAAGTTGGATTTTCCCACCCAGGAAAAAGTGAACAGCCCTTTTTAGGGAGGTTTTCTGGGTTTCTCACATGTTACAGCCCAGCAGAAAATGAACAGCCTTTTCTCTCAGATCTTTTGGATTTCTCAACAAGAAGAGAATTTGAAAGCAAGAGCTTTGAAAGAGTGAAGCTTGGTGCACAGCTTGAGGAACTGAATAAATAAGTAGATATTTCAATCTGAAGGAAAGATCTGGAACTTTTTCATACTTACAAACAAGCAAAATAATCACTGGAATATGGTGATTATACATGCAGAAAGGTCCTCCATGTAAGGCACTGTTTAAAACCAGAATTTAGAGCTTTACTAGGGAAGAGAACTGGTTCTCACTAAAAACAATCAACCAACCAACTACCAAAAAAACAACCCCAACAACAACATTAAACCAAAAATCCACTCAACCCCAAACAACCCTCCAGGAGAGAATTAGAGGGCAGAAGACTCTGCCATTTTTTTAAACATTAATTTCTTTACTTCAGAAGCTCCACACCCTCATTGAAACACAAAGTGGTGATTTCTGCTACAACACGTTCACACTTTTCTTTTGTATCATAATGCAAACCTCAACTGCTTGTAGCAAGAGTTCTTCTACAAGTGAAAGAGGCATTAGCAGATTATAGTTACACTACCTGATACTTAATAGCAGTGCTAAAACCTGAGCATGCCCTGCAAAAAGCTCGATAGAAACAGCAGGTGTTAACAGCCTTGGCCAGTGACCAAATGAAAAAAGGATAAATTAGCAAGAGAGATTGCTCCTCAGTAAATTCAGCAGGAATATTGTGACCCACGTGGAGCCAGCACCTGGAATCACACAAGGTTTGCAAAGCCCAGACTGGTCTGTACAGAGCTCCTGAGCTGGGTGTGTGGGCTTGCTAAAGGTGCTCAGGGTTTGAATAGAACTGTGTCATTATTTAGGGGTGATTCTGTGACTTTTCAGGAATCAAAAGTAGGTCACAGGTGTCATTACAAGGTATGACAGGTCATTTCCTGAATCTAATTGTAAAACTCTACAACCTTCTGTTATTACTAATGAATTATTATTTTGAAATTTCATCTCTACCAGCCCTGTTACCAGTGCACGTCTTCAGAAAACTTCTGGCTTCTTTATAAAAACCAAAAAAACCACAAATTTAAGCACTATTTTGAAAATGAAAATACTTCTTAAAATCTTTAGCACTCTCTACTGAAAGGGCTGAACTCTTTCTGGAAAACTTTGCTAAAAAAGTTAATTTTAATAAATACCACTATGTTTAGATACACACCTGAATCCTCACAAACAGCAGTCCTGAAAGAGAAACACTGGTGAGACTGGGAAGGGATTTGGTGGATTTTACACAGAGCAGACATTGACCATTTTGATTATAAATCTAATGAAGCAAGAGGCCAATTTACAGCTTAAAAGAAAAACAGAGTTTTCCTATTGTTCCTTAGCACTACTGCCAGTCAGAGAAGATCATGAAGTTTTATATTTGTGGAGAAATATTTTAAAGCACATTCAACAGAATGTGCCTTATTTACTGGGTCAGAACTCATAAACAGAAAAAGCAAAGATTTCATTAAAAACAACACTGGTGGTTTGTTGACACCTGAACCATGATATAAACGCTGGATTTAGTCTGTCACTCCTATTGTTTACTATTTTGAGAAAAAAGGATTCCAAATTTTCAAGATGCTGTTGATCCCTCTGGCTGTTCCAGTGGCAGGTTCATGGCAAAGCTGGGATTTGGAATTTCCAGGCTTGTGGAAAAATCTTAAGGCATCACAGCACTCCACAGTGTATCCCACAGCACTCCAGAAATTTCCAGCAGCACAAAGCTCATGGCTGCACTCCTGGCCTCTGCCAGCTCAGTGTGACACAGCCAGAGCCTGCAAACATGGCACAGTCTGAAAGTCATCCTACTTTCAGAAGAGTAAAAGTGCAAACATAAAGATTGAGAAATCTGCACTTTCTCTATTAAAAAGGTAAAAGATGTCAGTGCACGTGCACACATGCTCTCAGCTGGGGTCTAAACGTTGTGGCGAGGTTTAGAACAGAACTGGTGCTCAGTCTGTTTTGAAGTCAGTAACACAGCATTGCATCTGCCCAGCAGAGTCTTCCCAAAAACCAAACCAAGGACTTGGATCACCAGCCATGCTTTTGGCAGTGCTCAATATGCAACTGTGCAGCCTCCTGGCCCCAGAGGAATCTGTATTCCACCTCTCTTACCCATCCTAAGCCCTTTGTCCCAATACATGGAGAATGGATTCTACTCATGTGAGCAGTATCTGCAGATGAGTGAACTAAAGCCAGTTTTGGAGTCCTGCTTTGGGAGCTGGTCGTGAGGGTTTTTTTCAAAAATTTCAACTTCCTGCCAGTTTTAAGTTTAGCAACTGGTGGAGGAGGTAGAAAGAGAATGAGAAGTCTGAGTAACATTTTCTGCAAGGGCTGTTGCCTTATCCTCTCCTATCATCCACTCCCACAGCTCAGAGAGCAGTGTGGTTTTGGTACTTCCTTCCTCACAGGGTGACAGGCTCAGCTGCTCAGTGCACCAATCTTCCCTGAGAACGTTGCTTGTAAAGCCTGACCTTCCTAGAATTTGCTTTCTTCTAATAAACCCTCTGAGCTATTGGTTTGAAGCATTTCAAATAAACCAGAAGTAAAGGTTAGACACTGTATTTTAAGCATGATATGAATAATTTTTTGGCAGCAAGATAAGATGATCAACTTCTTCCTCTCAGTTTTTCCTCAAAAACCAGTTGGTGTAAATGCTCATAGCAGCCAGCCCAGGTTTAGTCCAGAAAGCTTCCAAACACTCAAGTCTCATTCACACCCAGGGAAGTCTGAACTCTAAGAATTATTAGCTCCAAAACCAGAGAACTTCATTTTACTTCTTTAGCTGAAAAAAACCTGACATTCTGAAAGATCCTCTGCCTCTTCTACAGCAGGGAATGAGCCACAGACAAATTCCATAACTCACTTTTGGACCAAAGCACTGGTGTGTGCAGGGCACTGCTCACCCCAGGATGTCTCACATGGAATTTATTCTTCACACAGCAACTTCCTTGTCCCCTGCAGCAAAAGGAAACAACACTGAAACTGGATGTTCCTCAATAAGAAATAATGACAATTCAGAATCAGATCATGGCTCATTCCAAGCTTTCTTTGAAACAAAATATTCATAGAGGCAAACTTCATCAGTAGCAGAGCAGAATTCTGGTCTCAGTAGAATTAACCCTGTGAATCTCAGTACTGACTGTCCTCCACTTGGAAAGATCTCTCCAGGCATAAAGTTATAGCCTTTTGATATTCCATTAATATTTCTGCCATAAATGCCATAAAATGTATTAAAATATGGAATTAGATCAGCTTTTCCCCTTCTCTGCTGGGGGGATTGTTTGGTTGCAGAGGAAGGAACAGAAAAAGAATAGAGAAGAGTTTTAGGGAACATTTAATCCCTGGTTTTGCAGCCATAAGCTCTGTTTTCCTGAAGCATTATTTGCTTTTTCCATGCAAAATCACACAAATGCCATGGCCGTTATCTGAAGCAGAGTGATGTGTACAACACCCAAAGATCCTAAGGCTTGCTGGATTTAATGTTTATTTTCAAACACAATCCAACAACATGAGGTTTTACCAAGGGAAAAATAGTCTAGTTTGTAGTTGGATATGCTGTAGAAGAACTTAGCAACAAGATGGTAAATTCAGTGTTTTATCACATAGTAAATAATAATAATGAGTTACCAGATTAAATTTAGCAAATACTGAGGGATAATAGTGAAGAAAATAATTTATGTGCTTTGACAAGTGATAGGTTTCAAGGTGTTTTATTTTTTAAACTATTTTTGTTCTTCTTTCCAATAGAATTGTAAGTAAATTAAGCCAAGAAATAAACAAAAATGAAGGGAGGCTCTCTTTCCTTCCAAAATGGTGAGTAAGACAACTCAGCTTTCTTCTTCAAACCTTTCAGATAGTTCTTTTCTGGACTGGTTTGCATTTGATCAATAATGCCTGATCAGAAGTGCAGCCTGGAAATTCTATATAATAAAGTTCTGTTTCATTAATGCTATCTGATATCAAATACCAAATGCTGAGCCCATGAACACCCCAGGCACTTCTGCCATGTCCAGAACCAGGTAACATTTGCACATTTCCTGCAATTTTCCACCTGAGCACATAGCCCTTAAGAAGGCCATGAAGCCTAGGCATATATTATGAATAAATCATCATTAATGCATTCCACAGATCTATACATCACTATACTCTTGAATTCTTAATATTTGTCACTGAATATCACATTCACAATAGAAGAAGAGCAGAAATTGCAAGAACATTCTATGACAAAAGAACAATTTATGACCCTACTCAAAGAAAACCAAATCTACTCTACAAAACATGGTTTTGCATCAGCTGATAACATGATTTTACACATTTCCATTCACTAGAATCCAAAACTAGAACTGAAACCCATAAAAACCTTATTTAACCTTACATTTATGGGCTTGACTTTGAAGTTTCTGTTTTCAGGAGTGGTAAATGTATTTACTGGGTCCCCTTGCTTCAAACCTGACTTCTCTGACTTCAATTCTTCTTGAAACAGATTAGATTTTATTAGGATCCTCTATGTAAATATCAGCTAATGTATTTTTGGCATTTTGGGCAGAGTTAAACTCATCCATGTAAACTTCTTTCTACTGTGACAGTTAACTATTGCCTTTATTTGCAATAGGAGCATCAAACATTTAATAGAAAGAATTTAATTTTTGTGTCTTTGTTACAGGGCCCAAACACAAAAATCTCCAGAAAACACAGGTAAGTGAATACTGGCAGACTCAAACAACAAAAAGTGTTTAAAAATATTAAAATGTTAGCTCAATACTTGCAGAGCAGAGTCAACAGAGGGGAGCAGGGTTAGGAACCAAAAATCCAAAACAATAAATGAAAATACAGGAGTATAAAGAACTTTAACAAATGAAAAGCGTAGATGCAGGACAATTAGTAAGAAAAAGTGTTTTTAAAGAGAAAAGATGGTGAAGGAAGGCAAGACCAGAGAGTTTTACCTCAGAATAGTCAAAATGTCTTTATTTAACCCAATAAATTGAATCAGTGTTTATATATTTCTGTTCCAACATCTCCACCCCCTGCCTTTCCTCCTAGCAGCACTGTATTAGAGAGGGAAGTTGAGGTTTAAAAAAACCCAAACCCTTCTTTTATGAAAGCTAAAATAGTCTTAAACAAGGAGATAAGAAGTCTGGGCTCATTCTGAAAGCATTTTCTTTCAAATGATATAATTTAAATTGGAAGTGGAACAAACTTGAAGTGCCAGCACCCAGACTGTGTCACAGCAGGGCAGCTTTATCTTGGTTTTAATCAGGATGTGCCCTCATCAGTGCCAGCCTGCCTCTGAAAGAACAGCTCCTGCCTGTGGCACAGCACTGAGGTCCAGAACTCACCTGGCATTTGTTGGGTTCTTTCTTGTCATACTTCTGATGGTCACAATACACAGCAACACATTCCATTTTCAGAAGGCTTCAGGCCTGTTTTTATTCTAGCATGCATGCTTTATATACATTCTTACACACCTCATAAGTTTACACTTTACTCATTGGTCATGAGAGACAAACCAAGTGCTCACTGGAGCAGGCAGTTGCAGGTTTCTCTTATTTCTCCTTCTTTCTTTCTTGGTTTCTGTGTCAGTGACCTTGGTAGGAAATTCTTATTATTCCCCTATCAAACTTCTCTCTGGCTCACAGAAGTCACTGTAAAACCTCTCCCACACTTTCTGTCAAGTTGTTACATCTCTGACAAAGGGTCCATGCTCAGAATTGTGTGGTTGTGTTCTTCACACAGGGTACGCTCAGGATGACGGTGGCTGGTCTTCATTTGTGAGTATTTGGGTGAAGAAACCCCCCTGGCTCAGGGGGGCTCTCTGTTCCTGCCCTGGCTGCTTGGGCAGCAGAGCTGGGGGAGGAAAAGCAGGAGCAGGAATGATGGGAGTGGCTGCATACAGATTTCCTCACTGAGAAAAGGTTCTCCCCAGAAATTCAGAATTGCTTTCCTGTTGCCTTCCTGTAGCTCCCAGCCTACAACCAGGTCCCCACAGAACCACAGCTGAGTTTTACATGCCTGTTTCAAGCTCTTAAAAGAGGTGCCTAGAGGTTGCTGTGTTATTCAGTGGCAAATTCTTGCAATTTTATTCTCTAGAGCCAACCTGTTGAACAGTATTTTTTTAAAAAAGCCATTTAGCCTGCAGAAGTTCCTTCTGCCTTTTGGCATAGGAAATGCCTCAACAAGTGTTTAGGTGAAACACCCACCCCAGATGCTGATGCACAGTCTGAGCTTATGAAGATCTCTGAGGCTAATGGCTTTTCTCCAAAAATAAGAGAGAGAGAGAGAGGCATTTTTAGAAGGCACTTGTTACTAAGTTCACAGGAGATTTGCTGCTATTCTGGGAGCACAGCAGATAAAAGTAACCACCTACAGAGCACATGGGCTCTGTGCCAGTGCAGAGGACCCTGGAAATTCCAGCTGTGGTACCAGTGACAAATGGAGGGTTCTTTTTCTCTCAAGCCATGGCAGATTGCACAGATGTGCAATGACCACACTATCACCTTATGAGGTCCTGCAAACAAGGCTGGTTTGGGTCAGGAGGACACCAAGATCCAAATCAATGACCTCAGTTTTTATGAATAATTTTCACAAGTTGGGTTGCATGCTGCAGAGGAGATGTTAGAAAGCAAGAATGAATATCAGCAGCATCAACTGCTGCCCATTGTGTTCCTGGGAACACTGGCTTGTTTGCTGGTGCCTTGGCTGTTCCCTAAAACTCTTCAAGTCTTTCAGCAAACTTGCACCTTATTTTGATCTCCCACAGCACTCACTGTCATCACATGACATTTGTTTCTTTCTTAAGCTCCAGTAATGCATCAGTGGAAAGTTTCTTCCTTTCTCTGTATTATTTCAACAGATTTTTCCCCTCAAACTGGTTGTAAAAGTTTGGTATTTTCCAGAGTGAAAAATACCACAGTGAAAGGCCACCAGGAACTGCTCTGCAGGGTTTAGTGTTCTCTTCCAGCATCCACTTTTTATGCTCATTTGCCAGGATGATGATGATGATGATGACTATGAAAGCCCTGATGAAGGCCAGGAAAAGGAAGATGAGGCTGACTATGAATCACCAACAGAGGAGCCTGAGGAAGCAGAACATGACAGTGATGGCTATGAGCCACCTCCATCCAATAATGAAGAAGCACATCACAGTGTCATATTTCCTGCCAAGTCACTTCCAAGCAGCACAGATTATATAGGTAATTACTAGAAATTAAGTGCTATTAATAAGATTTTACCACCACATTTTAGGTGGCTGATCATGGAGTATAGAAGGTTTTTCCTTGAAGGTAACAGTGTAGTTCATAAGCAAGATTTAGTGACACAAAATCTGTGACTTTTAAAGTTACATTTTTTCTTTGGACAAGCTCTGTTGGAATAAAGATTAGTTTTGTGTGATGTGTGCATTATTTGGCCTTTGATCTGAACCTGTATGAAATCATACACATGTACAGGCTGCAGTAGCTTTAGCAGTGCAACCTTGGACAGAGCAGGTTGTCACAACAATGGCAAAAACACTTTAGTGAAATTTGGGAAAAGAACAATCAGCTGTCCCTGCCTGTCATTTCTGTTTTGTGTCTGAATCCTCAGCAGCCTGGAGGTGTGGAGTCCATTCAGGAGAACAAAGCTGCCATTCAGATTGGCTGGTGTTTCACACACTGTCCTGCAGGGAATGAAATAAATCCTGTGGCCCAGAGCCTGGCAGGGGAGTTACCCCCACAGGGACAGAGCAGCCTGGAACTCCCAACACAACCCACTGATCCTAAAGCTACATCCAGGCAAATCCTACAGTAATGTATTGATGATTTATTAACTTCAGTAGCCAGGTTCTTGTAAGGGCTCTTTGTCATAAAGATTGACTATTAAATAACCAAGCTCTGTGTAGTTGTTTAATTTGGGATTTTTATTTTCTTTAGACAGACCTACAACAACCAGATCAGCACATCAGCCTCCACATCAGCCTCCAGTACCACCCCAGAGACCTGGCCCAGCCTCATTTGGGGGAAGAAGTGCTACTGTATGTTCCTGTCTTAATATCTCATCTATTTCCTATCCCAGGACCTTCTTAGGAGTCCAAGAGTAGGGCCATTTTTATTCACCTAGTCTATGAAGAGGAAGCCATCAAAACAGATTTGAACTCTGTTACAAGGTGGCCATTGTTCAAGGAACAATTCAATTTCATGGGAGCAATATATTTAATTATTTTATATTCCTTCACTGATTCTTACACTGGAGATATACACCTACTTGTGAATGCCTCTCCCACAGAAATTATGTATTTTTAAGGGATGCCTCTGTTTTGAAAACAAGGTTATGTTTTTCCAAGCCATACTTCTAACACTTGCCCAATTGAATTAGGACCACATAGAAGTGTAAGAGACTGTGTAATCAGAACACTGATGACCAAGATTTGATTCCTTTTTTTTTCTGCTGTGAATTCTTCAAAACTGAAAGTTCTTGTGCTGTTGACAGCTGGCCCTATAGGTTCAGTGTTTGCCAGAACAGATGTACACTAAACCTACCAATGTTCCCACAAGTAAAGGTTTAGGATGTGATGGAGGGACTGATGCAGTGTAACAGAGATATAGCAGGGTTGCTGGAGCTCCTGCTCCTTTCCTTTGACAATACACCTCCCCTTCCAGAGGAGACATCCCACTGGAGTGTTGGGAGGCACAGCAGATGGAGCCAATTCTGCATCCAACAAAAATCAATGATTTTGGTCATGCTTCAGGAGGGTCCCTGGCTCCTGTCCTTCCTGCAGTGAGCAGAGACCTGCTCCTTGTGCTGTGCCACACAAGACTGGCAGATGAGTGTGGTGGGGTTAGTACACTCCAAATAGAAAGGTGAAGACACATTTTAACCACGTGTGAAATATCTGTTTTAGCTGCCAGCTTTCCCTCCTCCACCAAGCAACAACGACTTGAGTAGAGACAGAAACATGAAGCCTTTGAAACGTGAGTACAGCTGGAGTTCCCTTTTTACTCCCCTCTGGAGTAAAGCTTTTCCCAGAGACTGTGCACTTCTTCCTCTTTTCCCTCAGTTCCACTCTCTTCTGCTACTCATACAGGAGTCTGAATTGTTTTAAGAACAAGTGTCTGTACAACTGTACTCATACCATTTTACTCATACAGGAGTCTGAATTGTTGTTTTAAGAACAAGTGTCTGTACAACTGTACTCATACAGTTTTACTCATACAGCAGTCTGTTGTTTTTAGAAGTAACACCAGTTCTAATCTATGGAAAATAAAGATATATTGACCTATACCAGCAAATGATCTCACACAGTTGTTGTTTTTAGCCCCAGCTCCTTCTATAGACAGAAGCACCAAACCCCCTCTGGATCGCCTTGCTCCCCCATACGAAAGAGAAAGCCCAGGATCAGGTCAGTATTTGCTCACATTAATATCACTGAGGTTGCTTTAATTACTGAAAATCATCAGTTTGTATATAATTAATGCAAAAGAACAAGGCTCAACCAAATGTAATCAAAGTAATCTGTTTATGAATAAACGGTGTGAGCAGAGCTTACAAAGTGGGAGAGAAATTTCATGTAGAAAACAGCAACCCTGGGTCAGAGAGGTGAACAGAAAACATTATGAGAGCCCTGTGCAATAAAGGTTTGATGCACACCTAAGTGATTGAACAAGGAAATATTTAGTAGGTTAAAGGAGGAAATCACCTTTGCATACAAAGGTAATGAAACTCTGCATACACTGCTGTAGGTAATGTGGCAACAGACTTAAAAGAGGGCTGAGAATTAATAAGACATAGAAAAAAAATGGCATTTCCTTCAGACCTGAAAACCACATTATAAAAAGCATCTACAGATATGACTCTACAATTTTATTTATTATCTAAACTCTTATCTGTTATATAATGGCAAGAAAGTATTCAGTAGTTCAAAGCTGCACCTTAGACAGTGTGATTGTGACATGTGCCATGTTGAAAATGTTTAAATTTCCCTTCAATAAGAGAGATTGCAATTTTACCATCACTTGCAAAGCCAAAATATTTTTCTGGCTTACATCTCAGGATATGAGTTCTTCAACCAGCAAGATTAACTTTCAATTTTATTCAAAACTCAATTATTTTATAAGAATTTTAATTAATTAACTTCAATTTTTTCTAAATGTAAGTTTTTGCTATTTTCAGGGAAGAAGCCAGTCATTCCTGAAAAGGTAATTTTTTTTTGTGATTATTGATAGTTTTTGCCTATTTTGATACACTTACACATTCTCTTAACTATTCCTTGTTGTTTTTCAGCCTCTGGTTTCACAGTTAAGGTAAGATTTGTCCTCTGCAAATGATCCTCTCATTGCCAGTATTCCCCAGTTATTTCTTAATAAGAGCTTTTTGCCTTTATTTCATCATCTCACTCCTGCTTTAGATCCCTGGGAGAACAGTTAGCAATGATGCCAAAACCTCCTGTCCCATCAAGTGAGAGATATGAAAGAGGCAACCCACCCCCTCTAAGGAAGCAAAGCCCTGGAAAGTAAGTGCTCATTTCACTGAAATTCAATAAAGGAGAAATGAAATTTAACAAAAATATGGACAAGCAACACAGGATGGTCTGATTTACTGGTACTGCATGACAGCAGGGTCTGTGGCTATCAAAGTCTTGGTTCATAAATATGCACAGGGTGTGCTTGAAGCTGCAGAAAGGTGTGAATGCAGAAAAACTCTCTCCAGTCATATCTGGAAGAGCCATTGCATGGGGCATGACTCACTCCCCAGTTGTACAAAGATACAGATGATCCACGTTTTTTCCAGCAGAGCAAGTTCTTGCTCTAGGGAACATTCTTACATGAGTTCTATTGCTGTTGTTTTAGGGTGTTAGAAAAGGAAAGCTGCACTTTTATCCCATTGATTTTATTAGCCTGCAGAACTCCTTCTTAACAGCCAGCAGCATTTCCTAGCAGAACTGCATCATTCCCCAGCATTTTCTAGCAGAGCTGCATCATTCCCCAGCATTTTCTAGCAGAACTGCTTAATTCCCCAACATTTTCTAGCAGAACTGCTTAATTCCCCAACATTTTCTAGCAGAACTGCATCATTCCCCAGCATTTCCTAGCAGAACTGCATCATTCCCCAGCATTTCCTAGCAGAACTGCATCATTCCCCAGCATTTTCTAGCAGAACTGCATCATTCCCCAGCATTTTCTAGCAGAGCTGGATCATTCTCCAGCATTTTCTAGCAGAACTGCATCATTCCCCAACATTTTCTAGCAAAACTGCATCATTCCCCAGCATTTTCTAGCAGAGCTGCATCATTCCCCAGCATTTTCTAGCAGAACTGCATCATTCCCCAGCATTTTCTAGCAGAACTGGATCATTCTCCAGCATTTTCTAGACCACCTGGGGGCTGAGCACTGACTGTACTTCAAACAAGAGAAGAAATAATTGAGATCTGCTAACCAGCTACGAGAATTGATCAGAGAAACAAAGCCTGATATCCTTATGATGTGCTCCAGCAGTGTTGTCAAATATTATAAATGAGTTCAAGACTTGAAGACTAATGTTTCATCATTGTACAAGCTTGTTTTAAGCTCTAATCTTACAATCAATTAATCAGACATTTTCCTTGTTGATAAAATCAAGATGGGCTAAGAACTAGAATAATGCATTAGATTATAGCTGAAAATTAGAACCTTAGATATTATTATGAGGAAAAAAATGTTTCTGCATCCATTGGTCTTTAAAATTTGCTATAAATTCATGTTCTAGTTGAAAATATTGCCTAATGCACACGAAGTGAATGAATATTATTCCACCTATGATGAGTGTTTTGTTTTCCTTTCAGGCACAGTTGGCCACCACACAGGAAAAATGAAGTAAGTGTAGTCTCAAAGCATATATTTAAAATATAGGGGTTACAGTAAAATTAAATACCTGTATAAAGTAATAATGCTGGAAAAGAGAAACTTGTTTCTTTTATAAATTGTAAGGAATACTCATGGATCTTTCATGGCACATGGGGTGTTTTTGAACAGTTCTTCTGTGTCAAGCTCAGTTTGTTCCTTGAGAACTTTATCTTGGATAACAGAAAGAATAAGGCCAGAATTTCTTCTATGACAGGGGAGAAGTAGTTTTGCTTAAAAAAGATTTGGGCTTCTGGAGATTTTTTCAGCCTAAGCTGATCTAAAAGTTTCACTTTCAGATAACTCTGAGAGTCTATGCTTACTTGAAGGATTAAGGAAAGTTTATATCTCCTGAGAATTTCTGACTATTTTATGTCAAGATGAGTTATGGGACATCTACCACACATCTTGTTTACAAATTTAAAGCTTTAAAAACTTAAAAAATTATTTGGTGTTGCATGAAGACAAAACTCCCAACATTTTAGAGGGAAGTGATGTTGTAGATATTAGAACCCCTGTATACTCAAAATTCACCAATGTCCAGATTTTGTTTTGTAAAACATTCCTAAGAACTGTGCTATAATATGTTGCTCATTTATTTTTCTTTTTGGCTCCCCAGGATGAAGAAGACAGTAAGTATTTCTACAGAGATTTTTCAAACTTGAAATCTTTCTTTGTCTTAGTTCTAAAAAAAAAAAAAAGGTAAAAAGGAAATTACTTCAGTTGTTTCCTTAGAGCCATTTCTGAAGTCAGGTGGTACCTTGATAGGCAGTAGAGTAGAATTATTTTAAAGTGCCTGATGCAGATTTACATATCAAAGGCACAAACCCCAGGAAATCAATAGCTAATAGCCTCCTTCAGTCAGCCAGTTAGCAGCCAGCAGGATTTCTTATTTAGAAATACATCACATTAGAGAGATTTGTGTTCTGCACACAGCATCAAACAGCTGGAAACAGAAACCTGGTGTCTCCCAGTCCTCAGCAAACCCTGCTGGCACCAGGCTCTGTGCAATGTTAGTTGCTTTTATGAACAGAACTTCTTCCATGTACCACCAGTGTTTTTAAACTACTGCAGAATGCTGATTTCTGAAATTGAGTTGGTAAAGTGACTCCATAACAGAAACAGGACATTTGGCCCAGTCTCTATGAATTATCACTGCCCTAAGCCTCCATAAAGAATAAGGTTATTTAAGCTGTGCAGAGCACAGTTAACCTGTTCCACTCCTGCTAGTTCAGGTCTAAGGACACTGCAGAAAGGAAATGTTTTATTTCATGCTGGGAGAAATCTCAGAGTGATGTTCAAAAAGGTGATATCAACTCTGCTATTTAGAGGCAACATGACAGAAAACATGTACCAGCTTCTGCAGTTAAGGTACCTGAATTGTGGCTTATCCAAAACAGAACCCAGAAAATGTAAATGTTGCTCAAGCCAGTTCCAGTTTATTTTTAATTTTAATACCTACTTTTAAGCTCTCAGCTGACCATATGAGTTTCCAGTCTGTAACTAACTTATTAAGGACTGTTTATTGCATTATATTTATCTAATTAAACAGCACTAAGGTGACAGAATTTCTTCATTCTACTTCATTTAAGAATATCTCATGTGAGATTTAAGTTTTCTTCTGTTCCTCTCCACAGCTGCCCTGCAAAGACCAGTGCCACAGCTGTCTTTGCCCCCATACAGCTCCAATGCATTCCCACCCAAATCCATCAAGCCTCCACCCAAGCCAGGATCCAACAGCATTCCTGCTGCAGAAAGGTTTGTTTCACCATTATGGGTCATTCCTTTTGAATCTCAGCCTCTTGGTAGTTCATTACTGAGCCTGTGCCCTTGCCTCTACAAAATGCCAATTAGTGCTGTTGCTGCTATCCAGGAGAATCCTTTATAGAATTGAAGCTCTGTATCAGTGGAGCAGAGAGTGTACATCAGGCAGCCAAGAAAAAACCATGAATCTCTCTGTTTTATGGCAAGGAAGTTTTTTAAACTGATGCCTTGGAGTGGCCACCTAGAACAGAGGCTAGATAAGGTAAAGAGAGTAAAAGTAGGTATTTATTGAAGGCCTGCAATAGGTACAGTCAAAAGCCTCCAAGCTACACCCAGGATGGACAGTGGTCATGGGTTTTTCAGACAATTTGAAGTTTGGTCCATTTACATCTCAGGGGTTAATCCTCCAATTACAGCTTCAGGTAATGGAGTCATTTACTCCAAGTTATCCCCCTCAATTCACTGCTGTTTACATCTCTGGGGCCTGAGACAGTGAGGTGTCCTTGAGTTCCAGGCCTAGAGAGGAATTGTTTTATCTCAATGAAACGGGAGAACAGCAGCTGACAGGCCATGGAGTTTCAGAGCTATACACTAAAGCAGTGCAGGATCTGAAAAATAGAAAAGCTAAATCCTAAAGCAACCAACACCCTACACTGTACAAGGCTTCCATTCTTGAGACACCCATAGCTCTCCCATTGCTTGCAGGATCCATAAGAATGACTGGTCCTTTTGGGAGGGGATCATCTCCTACAAAACTAGGCAGGATTCAGGACAAAGGGGTCCTGCACACTCTAGGATCCCTTAAGTGTTAGAGCTGCAACTCCTCACACTTCAAAACTAAAAAACTCCACAAACTCAGTTGTATGGAGTTGAATCAGAAAGAATTTAATGTCCTTTTTACTAAATCTTACTGGAATGGTTGGTAATTCCTAATTAAAATTGTGAATCTTGCTGCAATTTTTTCCCAACTTCAACTTACAAATATTTGACTGTTATGCCTTCACTTGCTAGACAGAATAGCCCCTAATTAAATTTTGATTTCTGATGTACCATGCAACAGACTTAGACTTTGATGACTTAGAGTGGGCTCCTTGAGTCCATGTCTGATGCACATTTTCTAATATCTGTATTTTTTTAATGGCCCTTTGATGAATTCATCACATTTACCATCATTCTCTGGAATTGCTGACACCAAAACAAATACTGCAGTAGCAATAGCAAGGTCATATGCAAATTGAACTATTCCTATGATGAACACTTCTGCTTATACTCAAAGAGCATTGCCAAATTTTGCTGTAGCAGAGGCCCCCGGGCTGACTGATTCTCTCCCATAAATCAAGTCATGATAGGGTGTTTTTGTTGTGCAAACAAAATTAGCATATTTATCTCAGAGCCTTTTTAACAGCTCATTTAAGCAGAAGAGAAATATGAAGAGTAAAGGAAAGGAGTGCAGGCAATTTGTTCTCAATTAGGCGAAGAAACAAAAAAAGCCCCAGAAATTGAAGAGTGGGACTCCATTTTCAGCAGTTTTGGATGTTGGTTGAGGTTAGCAGAGATCTCTGGATGTGTTCTGGTCCAACCCCTACCCAGGCAAGGTCACCTTGAACAGGCTGCCTGGTACCACATCCAGATAGCATCTGAATGTCTCCAAGGAAAAAGAGAGATTCCACAACACTCTTGGCAACCTGCTCCAGTGCTTGCTTGCCCTCACATTAAAAAATGTTTCCTGATGTTCAGAGGAACCTGTGGTCTTGTGACAGCTGAAAAGAGCCTGGCTCTCCCCTCAGATAATGATGTGCTTTAAAAGGTCCCTCCTGAGCCTTCTCAGCTTCCAGCTCCCTCCACCTTTCCTCATGTGGGAGATGCCCCAGTCCCTGATGTTGCTGGCCCTTCCCAGCTTGCAACATAAACATGAAGCTGCATTTTTATCAACAATGTTACAGAAGCTGCAAGAATAATAACTCTGTAAGTGGAACCCCGCAGCGAGAAAGGTGTGGAGAGCTGCTCCCTGTGCTTGCTGCTCTGAGCAAGGACAGAGCCATTCCCTGTGGAAACTCCTCAAGCTCAATGCTCTCCTGCATTCATCCTGCTGCAGAAGTCTCTGTGGCCTTTACTGATTACCTTATTGCCACATTCTGAGCTCCAGGTAAACTTAAAGGTGGATCCACTTACACAAAAAGAAGGAAAGAAAAAGAAAAAGAAGAAAAGAGAAGGCTCTCCTCACCCTGCACAGCTCTCTAGGGGCTCTCACATTCTGCAAAACAGGCACAAAGTCCAGATCAGGTGATCAGAGCACAGAAATGTTGTAGGGAAATGTTGTATTTATACTGACTACTCTTTTTTTTTAAACAGTGCTAGAAACCTGTCTGCAACTGGCTCTCTACCGCCACGCTTCCATCCAGGTTTGTATCCTACATCCTTACATTGTTTTTCTTTTTTAAGTGCATGAAAGTTGAAAGATAGTTTCAGTGCAGTCAATATAAAAGTTTTTTTAGTATGGATGTTTCTGCTTGGACTGGGAACAGAAAACTATCAAGTTCCTGAGAGGCATCTTGTGTATCTTACTTAGTCTGAATCAAAGATTGGGCTTTTTTTTCCCCATGAAGTTTGGGCTTCCTGCCTTGTTCAACCAGTGTCAAAACCTCATAAAACCATTCTTTTCTGTACAGTACTGAGAGCTGAGCTATGCAAATCACTGTGGTATGCTAATACTCCCTAAAAAGGTTAGCAAATGCTTTTCATGTGAAATACACTCCATATTTATCTTGTAAGAAAAAAAAATAAAGAAAAAAATAAAGAAAACTTAGATAAAAATAAAGAAAATAAATGTAAAAAAATGTTAAAAAAATTAAGAAAACTTAGATAAAAATAAAGAAAATAAATAAAGAAAAAAGATAATAATAATAATAAAAATAATAAAAAATAATAAAGATAAAATAAAGAAAAAAATAAAGAAAACTCAATTGCTTTACAAGTAATTTTTTTTCACATGGTAACAGCTGTCAATGTCCTACAGCGACATTTTTATTTTCTAATTGCTGAGAAGGTAAGGATTGAAAGGAGACAATGTTACTTCTGTCTCTAAAGAAACCAAGATGCTCTCAAGTGAGTAACTGTGGTACAGAAACTGATAAAATGTCACCTCTATTTCAAGTGCATTTGTTTTTATGGAAATCTGAACCATAAGAGCTCAGTTGAATTCCCTGTGCACCAAGGATGCACTTATGTAAAGAACCTGGTTCTCATAGAGAAGCCTAAATCTGATTTCAAATAATTTCTAGATGTCTCAGTACCAGGGTGTTGTATTGCACTAAATAGTTATTTAGTTGTTTGCACTGGGTGTTTGGTAATTTGCACTGTTCACATGATTTTTATTTACACCAGGGTGATACAAATACTTTATGCTTCATAAAATCAAGATCCTACACTCTGGGTGCACAGATGAAATGATTTTCCTGGTTTTAACATTGTTTTTTCTACTTTTGTATCTCTGAAGGCAGCAACAGCAGATCTCCTTCCAGAGGCCCAGCTGACATGAGACCTCCACTGCCAATTCCCAGCAGACAGACTGTTCACCAGGCAAACACAGAGCAAGATGAGGTACAAAACATGAACCATAACTGTAAAGGCAGCAAGTTTTCTGGTTTTGAGAGACAATACCTTTCAAAGTTGTTTTTCCAGTCACTGTCAGGACACTACTGAATGCTTTCAGTTTCCTTTTCTGTGTCAAACTGTAGTGCCTTATTTTGTGCTCATCAAGAAAAACAACAATAGTTGAACCCCAAAAGAGCAAAATAAGAAAAATACATGTTTTCTGGATTACTTGTTTTGCACAACTGCCTTCAAGCAGCATCAAACTTTCAGTTCTCCTTCCAGAAAACTTTGATGAGTAAAGGACTCACTCCTTTAAGTGCAATTTTGCTTCACATTTCCTTAAATAAAACAAGTTTAGAGCAAACCACTCATAGTGATAACACTGCTGGGCAATCATAAAGAGTGCATTCACAGGAAGTCTGCATTGTTGTCTCAGATGATAGCTAAAAAAAAGACAGACAAGGCAAAGGATGCCCTTGTGCCTAGTGTCCAGGTAGACAAAAGAGAACATAAAAAGAACATAAAAGAAATCTTTTACTGAAAGTGTTTGGAAATATCTGTTTTCTTAGCTTACCTGCAGGGGAATAATGTCTATAACTGTAATATTTTCAAATTTATCAAAGTGAGCAAGTAATTTAAAACAATTTAGCAGCACTTTCCATAGCACAATACACAGCAGCAAGATCTGTGACACACAGAGGTTCTGCACACAGACCCACATATCCCTCACACCGCAATTTCTCTCCACTTCTTTGCATGTTGCCATTCCCTGGCAGCTGACCTTGTCCTTGTCCTTGTCCTTGTCCTGTCCCAGCCCCAGGGCTCTCTGAAGGATGAGTGGTACGTGGCTTTTGTCAGCCGGCCCGAGGCAGAGGCAGCGCTGCGCAGGATAAACAAGGTACTGCAAATCCCACCCCTGTCTGAGCCACAGAGCCCAGCAAAACGAACTACAGCTTCAAACAAGGCTCATCTGTACATGTGGAAATAAATCAAATATAGAAAATTTAACATTTAATATTAAAGATATAAAATATAAATAAATACATTTAAAATATAATAAATATTTACTATAGTTTAATTTAATTATATTATTATATAATATATATTATATAATATATAATAATATAATTATTATAAAATATAAATATAATATAAATATAATAATATATTATTACATAATATTTATTATAGTTTAATTAATTTAATTTAAAAAGAAATAATTTTAAAAGAAATGTTTAATTATATCTTTATTATAATAATATATTATTAAATAATTTAATAAATAAATAGATATTAGAGATTAATATATTAAATAGATTAAATATTTAATATTTATTATGTATTTAATATCTAATCTTTAATATAATAAAGATAAATAGAATTATTGCTGTGGGAGTTGTGGTTACCCTGTGCTGCCTCACAGCACTTGCCATGAGCTGAAGATGGCATGTGTGCACCATTCCAGTGACTTGTACTAAAGTCCAATTTGTAAGGTCCCATTCAGTGCCTTTAAGAAAGGGATTTCAATGGAAGAATTGTCAAAATAGATCTGAAATTAGGAAAAGCAGAGAGAGTGATAGAGTATCACTGCCTTTACCTAAATTACACAGACAATGCCATTATTTTAAGCTGTCTCTAAATCCATCATGTAGGAAACGTGATTGGCACTTAGTGGAAATGAACTTCTCTTTTGGTTAAAGTGATGTGAGGTTTGGTCTTTGATATTTCACTTCCTCCTTTAATGGAATCTCTCCCTCATACAAAACCATTCCTACCTTCCTTTAGAATCTGCTTTTGTAACAGAGAGGAGAGTTTGAAGTAGCAAACTGAAAGACAATACATTTGTCAAAAGACTAAATGCTTTAATGGTGCAGTGTCTCTTATCAGAAAGGAAAGAGATTTCACAAAGAAAATACACTTAGAAGAACAAGCGCTCTAGTGAAAGGTGTTACACTGATCAAACCCAGGAGTGTCTGCTCTTTGTCATCTGTCATTTTTTCCTGTGTCAGGATGGAACATTCCTGGTGAGAGACAGCTCAAGGAAAACAGTGACTCACCCCTATGTCCTGATGGTGCTGTACAGAGACAAAGTGTACAACATCCAGATCCGCTACCAGGAGCAGGAGCACCTGTACTTGTTAGGAACCAGCTTGAAAGGAAAAGAGGTACCATGTGTTTTTCAACTACTTCTCTTCATTTCAAGGCATCTCCTGCCTCATTCCTCAGTGCCAGGTGACTGTTCTGGCTGGAATTCTGCTTCTTGTCTCAGAGATTATTGTTATTGCTGGAAGCACAATCAGGTTATGCTGTTTGCACTCAGGGAATGAAGGGGTGGCCTTACAGCACAGCCATTAGAAATCCACGTGCCTGGTTAGGGAATGTTTGTTTCCCCCTGAGATACCAGATAAGGGAAATGCAGAGCTGAGAGCTAATCCATACCTACCAAGTTCAGCTTTGCTCCCAGGCTGGTGGCTCAGCCCCAGCCTGCAGGACTGTGGGTTTGCTGAGCACATTCCTGGCAGTTCTGATCCACACAGAAGCCCTGAACTGATCAGCCACCTCTCAGCTCTCAAGTACACCAAGCACAGTGGCAACAGCATGTGTTAAACAGATGAAGACTGCATAAATTAATTATACAACATTGCAACAGCTTGTACACAGAGTTACTGAGCTACAGATCATGCCAGGAATGAGAACAGTTGATCTGGACCCTATATATATTTTTATAATATTGATAAATATTTAGAATTTTAAATAAACCTTTTGTTTCTACTGGTTGCTAATAATTCTGACATTTTGGCCTTAGCCTTCTCATTTTTTCCATCCCACAGGAATTTTCTTCTGTAGCAGATATCATTGACCACTTCCAAAGAACACCCCTTCTTCTGATTGATGGAAAAGACAGAGGCTCAAGAAACCAGTGCATGTTAAAATATGCTGCAGGACATATTTAAATGAAACTTTAAAGATCCCCTATAGTACTGAAGCCTCCTGAAGTTTATAAACTTCAAGATATTTCCCTTTTCAGCAAACTAAAGTCATGAAGTCATTAAAATTCACAGTTTCAAAGAAAAAGGACTATGTTATTTTTTAAATTATGCCTTAAATACATTACTTTATAAATATAATTTTCCTACAAAGTGTCCATTAATTATACAGCACATGAGAATTTCTTATCTTCCAAGATATGTATATTCTCTTGAAATTATTTCCACACCAAATTTGATGAACCATAAATAAATGACCATACAAGCCCCTGCTCTCATAGGAGCTCTCTTTTTGGATCAGAATTGCAGCAGCAATTTCATTATTTGGAGTGATACAGAGTAGACCCAAACATTGTCAAAGCTGAGGCGTAGACAAAATAAAAGCCAATTTTTTCCTCAATAAATGTAACTCTGCTCACTTCTATGAAAATATCAGCTCAGGTCTGAAAGACACACAGGTTTCAGTGGCACCAAAAACCCTCCAGCCCTGGAAATGCAGATTCCTGTCAGGATCTGTGTCTGGGTTATTCAGTGTGAGCTGCTTGTTCCCACATTTCCAGGAAAACACCACAGCCACAGAGCACATCCTCTCTGTCACAGCACTGGGGATCCCCTGCCTCAGCCCACAATTGGAATTTTGTATTTCCTACAATTCCCTAACCTCACTCAGAAAGAAGATTTTCTCCACACATCTCTCTTCAGCTGGGTCTTTCTGACTGAATCAAGTGACTGCATTTTTACACATCAACAAAATTATCATCATGTGACCCTTACGTGGCAGAACCCCCCAGATCTCTTAGAAAGCACACACACACAGTCAGGCCAAACTTAGTTCCTCTTGCTCAACTGCTTTCTGTTTTACTGTATTTTTTTAAGAAAAAAAAGGGACACTCACAATTCAAAAATATAAGTTGTAGCTGAGGAAGCCCCTTTGTTAAGTGGGATTTATCCAACTATTTGCCTTGGGTTTCAAATTCCCTTGTGGTCTGACAACACCTTGGTTTGATAATTATGACTTTTGTCACACTTTTTCTCCTTTAAAGCCATGGTGTCTATGTCAGTTAAAACACTGGAACCAAAATTCAAGGTAGAAAATACCTTCATAGAATCTGTAAAGCTTCCCAGATAACATAATCAGATTTCACAAACAGTTTTCCTTATAGAGATATGTTTTGTAAGTGTTCCTTTCTAAGATGTTTAGGTAAGAGTTGGAATTCAAAGATAGCAAAGTTCATTTCCATGCAACTATGAGTCAAAAAATAAAGGTGAAAAATAAAATTAAAGAAATCCTTCAGCTGAAAAAAGCTGCTTCTAGCCCAGTATTTTTAAAAATGTACTACTAATCTGGTGAAAGAAAAGTCAGTTCTAATCTGGCTTTTTCAAAAATTGTTAAATTTAAGAACAACATCCCCCATATCACACTGTCTCTTGTGAATGTAATCCTATTCCATTGCCCTGCCTTGAAAAATCTGACAACCCAGAAACACCTCCTATGGATGGAATTGTGTTTTATTGATTTTAAATCATCTCACCAGTGAAAGAGAAATAAAACATAAACCAGCATAACAAATTCTAACACTGCATATTTTTTTTTTAGTAGAATAAATCTCTATTTGATTATTCAGAGAAATATATTTGGTGTAAGAATAAAGCTACATCTCAACATCCAAGCATGTTCACAAGTAAAGTATGATTGAATATGAATTGTAATGAACTACATGAAATTAGCTGTGTAAATGCTGGGCCAAGAAGATTTCAGGATAGAGCAGTGAAACCACAAACTCCTCCCTATTCTTGTAGCTAGTTGCATTAGAATCATTACAGAAACTAGAATGGAAAGCATTTTTGGTTTTCCAGAAGTAATCTGCTCTCTGACCCCTTCCTCAGCAACATTTTTAAGACGAGGAAGGAAGCTCAAGACACAAACTGCAGTTCCTCCTTCACTGGCAGTTTCTTATCCTGTTTCCCCAGGCACAACTGAGACAAGAGACAGTGACTTGAAGTAAATTTCAAATCTTTACTACTGCTCCAACACATTTTTGTTTAAAAGGAGAAAACCACATGAGAAACTTCATGCCCAGTTTCCTGACCTTTTTAATTCATTACATCAGTCTTTCCAGCCCTAGTGGGCTTGATTTGGGAAATGTGGGTTGAAAAAACCACTCTCAGAACCAATAACCTAGGTATTTTTTCCATTCCACATGTTTAGCTTAACATAAAAAATAGTCTACCTGCAGGAAACCATGCTATCATTGTACAGTTCAAACTTAATTAAAAGGAAGAAGATGAAGAAAGAAGAAAGAAGAAAGAAGAAAGAAGAAAGAAGAAGTAGCAACTTCAGCAGTGTTAATAGAAGACAATACATGAAAATGGATGTTACTTAATCAGTCAAACTCCAAGTCTTTTCTTCAGCTTCTCTTAAATCTTTGGCCTTCACAGGATGATTGAAATTCAAAATCAGGTCACAAAGCAGTAGCTGGCTTTCCACTGAAATACAAAGGGCAGTGTATCAGCATGGTGTTTATTGAATGACAGTGAGTGGTAATCTACAGACAGCATTGTTTTAGTGCTCATCTATCAACTCACTCAGGGTTGCCTGTTCCACTTGCCTCAAGAAGGTTCAATTCAGTTGGTGTCAGCATGTCAGCAATATTTGCATTAGAAGGCTCTCAGTGTTCCTAGAAAGGAATGACTGATCACCTAGCAGGCGTTTGCCATGGTTAACTAACATGATTCTATTCCTTTCTAACTGCTGTTCCATTAATTTTTCAAACCACAAGAGCAAAGCTATTGCTTCATTACATAAAAACCCAGTTGTCTGACACAGAAAACCAGGCCATTGCAACTGCACACTCTTAGAAGAATGTCTTACACAGTTTGTGTTTAACTGGATGGTGAAGTCAGAATTACCATTTATTTTCTTCAACTCATTGGACATTGTGTCAACATTTTTAATTGCAGCCTCAAGGTTAAACTGTCCATCAGAATTTTTGATCACCTGCATGAAATAGGAACAAAACATGACTGGCAGGGTATATATGATTCATAAACTCATTGATACAGATAATCATAATACTCCTGACATTTTTTCTTTAATTTTCTTAAATAATATTTTACTAAAACTTCCCCCAGTTTATAATTATCCACTTAGACATAGCAAATTACAGCTATGGAAGGCAAGCACTAAACACTCAGGGCTGGGTTTTTTTCCTGTCATATTTTTCTTATAGAAACAACCACAGATAAATTAATCATGTTTATGAATTCCTCTTCTCATCATTTTTCATGTTTGTTTTTGACCAAGCTTTTCTTACAGAATAAAAATTAATCGAGGATAATAATTCAGCCACAAGATGGAGCTGCAGTGACATTAACGTGACCAACACACCTGGTCACCATTAACGTTGTGTTAACGAGCCTGCCAAACATGCCCAAAAGCATTTGTAATTAGTTTATAATCAATATCTGCTTGTCTACTTTAGAAATCATATAACCTGCCTTTAACATTTAATGAAAAACCAATCAAAATCTAGACACAATTAAGACTATTAACCATTTGAAATGAAGTATAATTTGAAATTTCAAATGTGTACTACACTCCTCTTAAGGAATTTTTTCCTTATGAAAAATTTCAAAGAGAAGTGTGCATAGCACAATTTCTGGCCTAGTTATAAGCACTCTACTTATCATTCAGAAATCCTAAAATGGGTGATTAATAAATAATGTTCCTTTTGCAGAAAATCTCAGCACATTAAGAAGCATGACCAAAAACATTAACATACATTTAACATAGATTCTTTGTCTGAGTCTCTTCTCCCTTCAGTCAGTGGCTTTATGTTGAGTTCATCAGTCATGGCTGAGGCTTCTAAAAAGACAACTCCAAATTATTCAGGATTAGTAAGTATAAAATATACAATAACTTTTAAAATATAACAACTAGGCATTAGTTTCATTAGTCTTATTTGAAAGTAGAGTCCAAGAGCTCAAATGGTTTTAATTCTTCTGAGAAAGAATCAAAAGCTTGGATTTTGTTTATTTTACTTTCTTTAGGGACAGCGTTTCAGAATTTCTTCAGGAGTTCAAGGTGGAATTACTAACAGTGAGTAAGAGTATGAGTAATGGTGATGAAGCATTCCTCAAACATATTCCTGTACTTTTTAAACTGAAAACTTTCTGAGAGATCTAAAAAGGCATTGCAATTGGTTTCTGACATCAACTTATGGAAGGAAAATCTGAAGTACACACAAAAAAGTGTTGACTGTCTATGGTGGTGCATCTTCCCCTGGCCACACTATGATCTGAGGTTTTTTAAGAGATTCTAAAACACTCTTTTGGCACTGTCTGCTAGTCAGTAACAGAGCTGAGATTAAATACCAGATCCCTGGGTTTGTTCTTCCCCCATTCCTCCTGCCCGTCTCTCCTCACACATCAGGACACCTTTGGGCAAGCTCAAGTGTGTGACAGTCACTGGAAAGCTGTTTCAACCCTAAAAAAAGGAGAGAAAAGGGGAGGAGGGTTATTTCACCCTCGAAGGGGTGTGTTTTCAGAAGGGGTGCAATGACATGAGGCAGAGGGTGCTCAGCTCTGGGGCAGTGTGTCCCCCTTTGAGTGCTCCCCAAAAAGGTCTCAGGGAGGGCACAGCTCCTTTGGGCTCCTGTGGGTCACTGCCCTGCACAGGAGCCAGTCCCCCAAAACTCCAAAATGAGCTGAAATATGGTTTATGTTGGCAAGCACCATAGAGGTAAGCTGGTTCTGCCCCCCCTGCCATGGGCAGAACACCTTGCAGTGGCCCAGGTGGCTCCAAGCCCTGGCCAAGCTGGTCTGGAGCTCTCTCAGGCAGCAGGAGCCCTTTCCCCAGCAGTGAGCACAGCCAGGCTGGGCTGGTCCCACCCTGCAGACCCACCAGGAGCAGTCCCAGGGCTTCTCTCAGCAAGGAAAGCCCTGTGGTGTGTCCCTCTCCCAGCACATCAGAGGTCAGTGGGTTGCAAGAGTCCCGGGGCAGTCAAAATTTTAGGAGTGGGTTGTAAAAAGTAATTGCAAATGCTGCAAGAGCTGAAGAAATGGAGAAGAGAGGACTGAGGTGTCAGCAGGGGGTGGTGGATGGGGAATGAATTTCCTGCTGGCCTTTGAGGCCCTGCCTGTGGAGAGCTTATTGCACGTGCAGCAACTCATTTATAAAGAGTCAGTTCCTTTTGGTCATCAATTCAAGTTCACATGGAATCAAGTAAGTTATACTGTCTGAGCAAAGCTTAATAGTGAACCTGAACTGAAGGAAGCCAAGAGAGGCACTTTGCTAGACAGATTTATCCATTTAGACCATGCTCAGTGTTAATTTAGCAATGACCACTGCCCTCAGAAGCACATACCTGACTTGAGTTGGAATCAACAAAATCTGCTAACTAATGACCTGGGCTTGGGAGCTGCTCATTTCTTGCCCAGTCTGTGCTGTAGTACTTAAAGCCAGGGACATCAAGCAGGGGAATGGCTGTCAGAGCTTTTCTTTAATTTACTGGAACCCCTTTTCCTGCTGCTCAGCATTCATCTGTATTTGGAACTTGCTTTTTGGCACCAGAGGAGAAGGAATAACCAGCACCTCAGAGGAGAGTGGAATTACTTGGATGTGCAGTAGAGAACAGATGGACAGGGTGTGCTTGGGATGTGCTTTCATGCTATTTCTTCTTTAAAACAAAGGATTGTAAATGTATTGGTTTATGACTGAATTGGAACTCAGAGCAGCATTTTCTGGTATGGCACAATTAAACTGTGATTCAAAGAGAAAATATGGTATGCTGCAAACATTGTGGGGCATTCTGGAGATGAGAAATGCAGAGCAGGAAACCCTTCACACATGCACTAATTCCTGTACTACAGCCTTGCAGTTTACAGCCTCTTGCCAGCACCCCAGTGCAAGCAAGTTAACTGTGCCCTTTCTGTGGCTTCTAAGGAAAAAGTCCAGCTGAAGCTGCTGAT